AAGGGTTAAATTTGGAACAATCGGATTCGTAATAGCCATTTGCACAGAGACAAGAGTAATCTCTATCTCCAAGATCGACGCAAGTTGCATGATTCTTGCAAACATTTAGGGAACAAGGATTAAAATTTTCACACCTATCACCGTAAAATCCAGCTAGGCAATTACAATCATAGTGCGTATTAGTAAGGTTAACGCACTTTCCAGAATTTTTACATGGAAAATTCGAACATGGATCGAATTTATCACAAGTTTTTCCGTAATAACCTTCCGTACATTTGCAGATATAGTCAGTATTGGAAATGTTTAAACATTTAGATCCAGACAGGCAAGGCTGAGTATAACAAGAATCATAATTTTCACAAAATCTTGAGTAGTAACCTGGTTTGCATTGACAAACAAAATCATCTTCGTTTTGTCCTAAAATTTTGCATTCTCCTTCATTGAAGCATTTTTTTGAAAAACATGGATTAAAACTCTCGCAATTTTGTCCATAATAGCCTCCTCGACAATCGCACTCGTAGACATTGCTAGATATATTTCTACAAGTGCCTTGATTTCTACAAGGCTCTAAAATACATCTATCAAAATATTGACAAGAGTTACCATAAAATCCACTACTACATGAACAAGAAGATGATGAATTTCCGTGATATATACATTTTCCGTTAAGGCATGGCCTTTCTACAAGGCATCGATTGAAATGTTCGCATTTGTCACCAATATATCCCTTTTTGCATTGACATCGATAAGAGTCCGATTCATTGACACACGTTCCGTTATTAAAGCATCTAGCATCGGATAATTGACAAGGGTTTATATACTGACAAATGTCGCCCCAATAAGGACTTGGGCATCTGATAATATTAGAAAAGAATTATGTAATTTTATTCCCTCGCTATTATAGTTTAGAAGACAACTTACTGGCATTGAAAGCTAAAATTACCCGTCATGTAACATGTTCCCCGTAAACATGGCGATTTATAGCAGCTATTAAATATTGAACAATTCTGACCACCCCATTCCGGATCTAAGCACTCGCAGGCGTAAAGAGAATCTCCTTGAGTGAAACAATTGCCCTTTAGACAGGGTGAGTACATATCGCAAAAGTCTCTTTTCTCGCAAAATTCCCCGAAATAACCTTTAAGACATTGACAATTAAAAAAAGTGTCTGAAATATTCAGGCATGGCGAATCGTGCATGCATGGAGAAGATATGCATGGATTATATCTTTTACAGTTTTTGCCATAGTATCCATCAAAACATATGCAATTATATTCGTAATCGGTAATATTTTGGCACTCTTTTCCAAAAAATCCGCAAGGCTTACTTTCACATGGATCCCTCCTTTCGCAATTAGTACCAAAAAAGCCTTTTTTACAAGTACAAGAGTACGTTCCATTACCAATAAGAGAGCATTGTCCTGAATTAAGACAAGGCTTTTTCGTACATCTATTTATCATGTCGCAGTTTTTGCCATAATAATTGTGATAACATTGGCAGTCATAAATTGAGTCTGTTATGTTTGTACATTGGCCTTGAAAACAAGGTCTCAATGAGCAAGGATTAAATTTTGAGCAATCACTACCCCAGTATCCCGGTTTGCATATACATTCATAATTCTCATTTTCTAATGTTAAACATGTACCAGAATTCTTACAAGGTATATCAGAACATTTGTCTCGAAACTGGCACTGGTCGCCGTAGTAATTCTCCAAGCAATAGCATTTATAACCTGGGAAATTATTTACTTCCAGGCACCTACCCTTTATACAGGGCTGTCTAAGGCAATCTGTATTTAAAATTTTTTTTTAATATACTTGGCTCAGGTATTATAAAATAATAGTTGAAAAAATATTAAGTTACCTTCTCCTTTTGGAACTGCGTAAACATTGTTTGATAATGGACTTCTATCATCGCTCTCATTACTTATATTCATGGCATACATATAGGCCTTATATACATTCCACTTAATTAGATTCGTAGCATTGAAACAGGGTATACTACTTTTTAAATTTTGAATAAGTATAAGTGAATCGTTCTTTTCTAAATTTATAATATAATTTGTGATTGGCTCCGTTTCTGGTGGTATCCAACAGAATTGAATCCAATTCTTGCCTCGAGATCTCATTGTCAAATTTCTAGGAGGTGATAAGGTTGTAATTGTAAGCCTCAAAACCATCCAATCTTCCCTGTAAGGTGAACCGGTATTTCTGGCAACTATCCTTACGTCAGTTGTGGATCTAAGCGGAAGTATTATTTCCGATTTTAGAGAAACCCAACCACTTCTATCAAGCTCTAGTCCTAAATCTTTGAATTTATCTTCGGTTTCATAGTATATCTCTCTATTGTAGTCAACAACATCGTCATCACTAGCTTCCAACTTGGCAATTTTTGTACTGGTAGCGGTATGCTTATATAGCCATACGTGTATAATATCATTCTTGAAATGTGGTTGAAAATTGTTAAATATAGAAACAACAACGTCTATTTTAATATAAGAAAATGTTCCGGTCGAAGAAGCGTATACAAACAAGGGATAATTAGTTCCCAATTTGTCCGTAATTCTTTTTGCAGTTGATAGAATTCCAGAAGTTCTACCAATTTTAAAAAGGTCAAGAGCATTTGAACTTTGAAAATAAGTAATTTTATTCTGTAGACAACGTAAGTTATCCTTGTAGCAAGCCTTTAATGTTATTATATAACTTTCTGGCGGAGCGTTAAGATATATCCTCACTTTTAAATATTTACCTTTTTCAAAAACGATTGCTAATGAAATAAAGAAACATTTATTTTTAAATTAATAAGATAAATATTGTAATCTAATATCTCAGATCTCACCGGATTGACAAGTAAAAAACAGACAAGCAATTAAAACGGCAAAAAATCTTAGAGATATCATAATTATTCCTTGTTCAAACAACATCTAAACAAGAAAATACTTGAGCATGTGCTATTCAATCTAATTTTAGTTTGAAAAGTAATTAATTATTTATATTTAATTAATTAGGTGAAAGAAAATTTTCATTTATTTCGTAGTATAATCACTAACCTATTTAATATTTATTAAATACTATTTCTTTTTCTAAGTAAAACTAATTAGCAATTCATTTTTCTTTCGAATTAGAATACTATTGATAGTAATGATTCATATCTATCATTTTTCAGCTAGATACCAATACCCACTTCTATTCTTCATTGCTTCCTTCTCTACATTTTCAATGTTTTTTCTTTAAATATATTGTTAAATTTAGTGCTTTTGCATTCAGTTTTTTTGTTTTTTTTAATAAAATCAGCCATTTTTTTTGTCTATAATTCTTTGTTCTTTTTTCTCAAACATAAACCTATTGTACTATGTTGGTTATTAAATTGTTGTTTTTAGGTTAATAAACTTTGTAAGTGTTTTTACATTTTTTTAGAAGACTTAAACCTGGATAAATTAACGACTATAAATTTATACATAGTATAACATTCGCTCCCTTTCTAACACAAGATGGCGTGCAGTAACAATGGTTACAAGTTGTAATTACTTATTTAATTATCTATTATTCGTTATTTAAAGGTAAAATATGCTTTTTTTAGATTTTAATAAAAGTATTAATATTTAAATTATATACATTAAAGTTTTATATACGTATGTAAGAGTCAAGTCTTAAAAGTTGTTTTATTATCATTTTAGGCTTCTTGTTTTAAATCAAAGTTTTCTGAACTTTTACTGGTTTCTTGGAAAGGTGTAATTATTTCTAAAAACGTGTTTATTGAATCTTTTCTATTCCTCTTGTGCGAAAGATAGGCTATTGCGAAGGTTACGATAAATATCATAAAACATCCCAAATATACTACTGTAGTTAAATAAATCGTACGACTTTTCTTTATCAATTTGGTAGGTATGGGGAGGAAGTAGGCCGCTTTTAAGTCAGATCTAAATGTACTCAGTTTGGGAACTTTAGTAGTAGCACCTTATTAAAAAGTAAGTTGTATGCGTTTTTTTGCATAATGTTGTTGAAAAACAAACTGTTTCGGAGAAACTCAGTTCTTCTATTCTGAGAAGTGAAAGTTGATACGAAATTATATGATGACGGATGTTCTAACGTTGAATTAGGAACCCTACTATCTTCCACGTATAAGAAAGAAATATCTTTAGGGTCTTCTTCAAATTCATTAGACAGTTTTATTTCCAATACTTTCTCTTTTTCTACTAGAATTTCACTCTGTTCAATATCTTTTAACAGTTCATCTTCTTCTTCCATTTCTCTAAAATCTTCCAAAGTTTCATCTTCAATCATTGGAACGTAATTTGCAATTTCACTTAGACCACTTTCGTAGAGACCACCTAGAATTGCCACGACTGAGGAGGTAAATCCGAAAAAAGCGAAACCAGCTCGTATTCTATTATGATAAGACTTCCATCTTTTTTTCGCTTTCCTAGCAAAATATATTCCTGGAATGTTCATAAATCCAGTAAATACCGTTAATATTGTTCTCAAAGCTCCACGAACAACATTTTTATGGTAAAAAGACAAGAGTAAAGCTGTTTTAATATCGGTTTTATATCTTTCAGTGTCGTCGGTATCCAATCGAAAATTAAAATCTCTTTCAGCAACCTCAATTTCGTTTGATAAGCGACGTGAAGGATTGGAAATTTCGATTTCGTTATTGGAATTATCCAGATTTTTTCTACGTGAGCTAAACTTTTTCCATTTTTGCTTTACCCTATTTAGATATTTACCTGACTTTCTGGCTGTTTCTCTTGTCCAAAATGAGACCAAATCAAAAAGAATAATATTATCATTTCCTTTATATAATGGATTATCTCTTAGATTATTTGTGGTGTTATTTTCTAGTTTAAAATTGATATCAGTCAGATGAATAACGCCGTATTGATGGAAGATAAAGATAGCAGAAATAATTGATTTATATAAAAAGTTAGTGACGCTCATTATTATTAATGAAAATAGAGATCATAATAATAACAAAAGTGTAAAATTTCGAATGTGTGTAATGATGTTAAGGCTAATATTATGTTAGTTTTTATAGTCTATGCATATATATACTGTATATATAACGTTTCGACTAGATAAGATATTCAATTACTTAACTTGTAGCTATTTTTATCAATTTATGCAGATGTGACCGCCCATATTATTAATACACAATAATTAGAAATATGTATAACCTAATAGGTTTCTTAAGGAAATATTTCCGCTTTTTGTGGTTCGTCTGTATTGGTTTTACCCATCAGATTCATTATGAAAAGGCCAATAGTTTTTCGGTTATATGGAATACGCCTGTACAAGACTGTTACAATAAATATGGTCTCGATCTTAAATCAACATTAGAAAGCTTTAGGATTACGGTTAATAAGTTTGATGGTTTGAAAGGTGATCGCATTTGTCTATTTTATAGGCCTGATTTAGGTTATTATCCATATTTTGACCAAAATGGAAAAGCAAGAAATGGAGGTCTACCACAGGTAAGCGAAATGTTGTTGAGATACTAATTAACCTACTCTTTAGAATAAAACGTTTCTAAACAAATATTAGATGGCCAATCTCTCGAAACACCTTGAAAAAGCAGAAAGAGATATAGAGAAATTCCTTGATAAAGGATTTTCTGGATTGGCTGTTATTGACTGGGAAGATTGGAGGCCTTTATTTAAACGAAATTGGGATTCTAAGAAAATTTATCAAGATCGTAGCATAGAATTGGTGAAAAGACGTTATCCAACTTGGCCAATGGATAAAATAATTGAAGAAAGTAGAAAAGAATTTGAAAAATCCGCCAGACAATTTATGGAAGCAACAATCAACCTTGGTAAGAAACTTAGACCAATGGCTAAATGGGGTTTTTACCTCTTCCCCGATTGTTATCATAATAAAGGAGATTATAAATGTAGTAAAACAACTAAAGATGATAATGATAAATTGAAATGGCTATTTAGACTGTCAACCGCGCTATTCCCATCAGCGTATTTAAAAGAGAATTTATCCCCAACTAGTCAATGGAAATTTGTTAGAAATAGAATGACAGAATCAATAAGGGTTCGAAAATTAACAGGGCAACTGCAAAAGCCTTTATACCTATATTCAAAGTATTATTACAGTAGTACAACATCCTTCTACAAAGTGGTAAATATTTAAATAGCTTTAATAGAATTAAAAAATTAAATAAGATCAAATCGAACATTTAAATATTTAATTCTATGCTTTTATTCAGACGTTGTTTTTATTCAATAGATTTCACTTAACGCTTCGATTTCTCAAGCTAATAGTTTATTCTTTAACGGAATTATAATTTGGGGAAGTAATATTCGATCGAGAATTGAGTGCATCCGAACACAAAACTATATTAAAACCGTTTTTGGACCATTTTCCAAAAGATTTATTAGATAGATGAACAATTTATAAGTAACAATCTTGATCATATGTACATCAATCTATTAGGTTAGTATATAGCTTTACTAAATGCTTTTATATCAGAGAAACTATTTTCAAACTTTATATCCCCGTTAATATTGAATAAAAGAATTAATTGGCACTTTAACATTCTATAAAAAGGGTTATAGATTCTAAAAATTGTTCTAGAGAGCAGTCAAAGCATTTTTATGTTTTGATTTTTTCTTTTTTTTGCATAATAATATCGCTTTTTTGTTTGTTTTGTTTGTTCTGGTGCTGAAAACAAGATACTTTATGCACGGAAACTTCTCCTTTATAATAAAAAGAGAAGTTTGAAAATAATATATACGAAATACTTCTTTCGTTCCTTTATCATAATTGCACATACAATTTTCTACGTTTGTATATAGCAAATATTTATATAAAAATCGTCAATAGGTGGCGTAGTCAGACTTTTATAACTTTACAGTTTCAATATTTATTGTAGATGACCATATAATTCCCCATTTATACAATTGCAGACAATAGGTAAGTACAGAGATATACTAGTATAATAATAAATTCTAATACCTTTAAACTGGTTGGTAATCTAATAGCCTAAACGGTATATTTCAAAACTTTTGGTATCTACTCTAACGATAACAAGAATTGTTGGATATTAAATAAATAATCATCACTAACAAATTTAATAATGACGTAAACGTACTAATCGATTGGTTATTTAACTACTTCTCGCCATAGAATATGATTGATTTATATTGATAGTGTTGAACTGGTATACAGCACTCAAGTATTATATCCAAAAGGTAAAGAATATCAAATTTACCTAGGTATGTTTTGTGGCAGAAAATTTGTGAAATTTTTTCGGCTTCTCATTATCTTCAGTATATTTGGTTTAGTTTTATTACTTCATAAATCAATATTTATTTTGTCCAACGAGGCCATATCTCAGCCCAAAGTTACAATAAAAGAGGATAGTAAAGAAATTAAAGTTTGGAGAAGTGAACTTGCCTACAATTGGCCGTCTTATAGGAGAAATTTAAGCAAAGACGACTTGTGGAATGAAAATATCGAAGATAATGCTTTGAAGAATATTCTATTTAAAAGATATTGGCCTATTGTTCATAATTCTACAAAATATGTACTATACGAATGTTTAAAAGCTGATTTATGCGGGGGTTGGGGAAATAGATTACAAGGAATATTAGTAGCATACTTTCTAGCTTTGATTAGTGAAAGGCAATTATTAGTTAACATTGCCAAACCATGCAATTTAACAAGCTATTTAAAATCGAATCTTATACACTGGGATACTGATATACCAAATGGAGAGAGACGAGATCATAATTTCTTGGACTCTTATCCGGATAATATTGAACCTTTTCGATTTAATGAATTATTAACGAATCTCTTTGACGATTCTATTCAAATAGTCTCATTTAAAACTGGTCAATTTGGCTATTTGAAATATTTTAGCGTTCAGCAACAATTCAGGCAATTACTATTAAGTCATGGATTTCGTGACGACGATCTAACTAATTTCAATTATTTACAACTTCCGTTAAAGGTATAAAACTCCAATACTTTACAATATTATGTTAATATAACAAAGATAACTATATTTTTTGCAGTATAATATATACGACCTTCTATTTAAACCGCAACCTTCGATGCAGAGGAAAAAAGACGAATTTTTTAGGAAGTTAAATGGTAATAAGTTAATTTGTGCGCATCTCCGAACCGGTGATTCTAAATCACTAGTTAACGATTTCGATTATGAGAATTTATGGGCAGCTTCAGCAGTTTGGGAATTTTTTGAAAAGAAAATAAACTCCAATGTTATTTATAGTAATTCAAAAATATTTGTAGCAACAGACTCACAGTATTTAAGAGATGAAGCTAAAAAGTTATTTAAAGACCGAATACTTGATATTGAAGGAGCAATTGTTCATTTAGATCTTTTTTATGGAGAAAAAAATGATATCTGCGATGCAACTGAAAAAGTAATATTAGATTGGGAAATTCTATCCGAGTGTGACGTTTTAGTCACTTTACCGTGGAGTACTTTTAGTTCAACTGCTTTAAATAGAAACAGACATAGAAATGAATTGTATGCATGGCATTACGAATCTGAAAAGAGGATAGCTAAAGTTGTTCCAGTCAAACAAGCCCAAAAGTGGCTATTAGGAATGGTTGATACCATGATAGGAAAATGCAAATGTCTATCAAAGAGAGATTTATCAAAATGTTAAAGAACAGCAAAAAAATGTTACGTAATGAAACAACGTAGTCAACATTTAAAATTACAAACTAATATTAATTAATTTGGTGATGTTTGTTTTTTTTTTTCATAATGTTAAATAGAAACATTAATGAAATATTTTATACTATTGTTTTTATTATTGCTAATTACAATCGTTATTGATAACTCTCTATCTATAAATGATTCTAAATTGTTGAAGAATTTTATCTCCCTTGTAACTATAGATACATAAATTCATCTTTTGCTTTTTAATTTGTTTCATATGTTAATTACAATAGACGAATGTAACAAACAATATTAATGAAATGTAGGTATATTCCTTTCAACAATTCGATTAACAATACGTTTTAATCTTTTTATTTCGGCTTAACATAAGCTGTCATCGCAAATCCGACAAAAATCATAAACTCCAATTTAATTTCAATGTAAGAGATATTAGAGATAAGTTATGGAGGGAGAATTTTACTATTAGATTTAAACAATTTATTGGTTTCACTTGGCTCTTACTTTACAAGTTAAGGATATCAAAGCAAATATTTTTAAATGGCTTAATAACAAATGATACTTTAATTATAATGAGAAATTATACTAATTGGATTACTATAAATAATTCTACTAATTTTACAACTATTACTTATGACACGTATAGGCCAAAAACAAAAAAAACTACGTTAAATATTGAAATGATTTTAATAACTAGCGTTCTATCTTCGGCTATTATTTTTATTATTTTATTTAATTTACTTTTAATTGTTACTGTTGGTCAATTAAAATTAGTCTCCAAAATGAGACAGTTAAAATTAGATGATCTACATTTGCATGATTTTAGAAGGGACAGGGTTGACAGCGATACAACAGCGCCATTCTCAACTGCGGATATTCTCGAGTGGTCCGATGAAACTCTTCCGATGAGTTAAAGAGTATCGAACAATTTAAAGAATGACGGGAAAAAATAATTTTTAAAATAAATTAAGCTAGCATGATTTATTGATATTGAAATGTAATCATTTTTGGCATTCAACATCAGTGTTTTGAATAAACAAAAAAGAAATACACTACGCATATGTATTTTTCAGCCTGAACAGCCGCTTTCCACAAAAACAATCTCTTTCTAATTAGTCAGCTCAATTATGACTGATAGTAATCTAATATGTTCCGTGTTTAATACTGTTCTAGTATACAATGTGTACAATTTTCATTTGTTTTCTACTTCAATTATAATAAACGGAACTGTTTTTTCATCATCATGTAAAAGACCGACGACAGCTTTATTAGTTTACACTTTTATATTTAACTAAATGTCAAACAAACCTTTTATTTGTAATACTAATTTTTGCAAGTATTTACCATAATGCTGAGATATTTATTTCATTTACTTTTTTCTAAATCGATAAAAAGTATGTATATTTGAAAAAAGTAAATTTAACAATTAGACCCAAAATTTATCCATTTTATGATCTAAATTTTCCAATTATCTCAGTTTAATTCCAATTTTCAGACCATTTTTCCAGTATTAATTTTCCAAGTGTATTATGTTTAAGTTTTGATAATCATATATTTCTCTTCCTAACGTCTCTTTTCTTCATCATCACCGCTATCATCACCACTATCGTCTCCGCTATCATCTCCACTGATGTCTCTCTTTTCTTCATCATCACCACTATCATCACCACTATCATCACCACTATCATCTCCGCTATCATCTCCACTGATGTGTCTCTTTTCTTCATCATCACCACTGTCATCACCACTATCATCACCGCTATCGTCTCCGCTATCGTCTCCGCTATCATCTCCACTGATGTCTCTCTTTTCTTCATCATCACCACTATCATCACCGCTATCGTCTCCGCTATCGTCTCCGCTATCATCTCCACTGATGTCTCTCTTTTCTTCATCATCACCACTATCATCACCACTATCATCACCACTATCATCTCCGCTATCATCTCCACTGATGTGTCTCTTTTCTTCATCATCACCACTGTCATCACCACTATCATCACCACTGTCGTCTCCGCTATCGTCTCCGCTATCATCTCCACTGATGTCTCTCTTTTCTTCATCATCACCACTGTCATCACCACTATCATCACCACTATCGTCTCCGCTATCATCTCCACTGATGTGTCTCTTTTCTTCATCATCACCACTGTCATCACCACTATCATCACCACTGTCGTCTCCGCTATCGTCTCCGCTATCATCTCCACTGATGTCTCTCTTTTCTTCATCATCACCACTGTCATCACCACTATCATCACCACTGTCGTCTCCGCTATCGTCTCCGCTATCATCTCCACTGATGTCTCTCTTTTCTTCATCATCACCACTGTCATCACCACTATCATCACCACTATCGTCTCCGCTATCGTCTACGCTACCATCGCCGCTGATGTGTCTTTTTTCAAGTTCTGTCAACTGTCTTTCCTCAATTTTATCTAAGATTGCTGCCGATTCAACTTTGACAATCTAAAACAAGACACCAAGAAAAATTGAATGTTTAATATAATATGAAAAGACTTATTTGTAAATAAATATAGTAACTATTAGCAATATTATTAAAAATATTGAATATAAAATTGAAAAATTAACCTGATTGATCATGAAGACAGATAAAACAGCAATAGCTCCTAACAGTTTGAAATTCATTTTTTCACTTCGCAATTTCGAATAACGAAGAGAAATCTAATTCCGTTGTGCGTTGTAAGCAAGTTGAAATGCCAAAAGAAGCGTTTATATATGCGGACTAGAAAACGTGTGCATATGTTGTTCAATTCAATTATGTTGTACATAAAAAAGATAGCTATCATTATTATTTAAATAGATTTTTTGCAGGTGTGGCCTCAATGGTTGGAATATGACTAAATTTAGACTATGACTGAATAAGTGTAACATTTGTTTTAAGTAGCTGCAGCATAAAAGTTTATATTTGTTCCTATTTTACAAGTGGTCTTTAAAAAATTTTATCTAAATGTTCAAGAGTTGTCTTAAAGAATTTTATTAAAAATAATTTCCCTCTATAAGTTAGTTAATGACAAAAATAATTCTCGAATTATTTCGCATGTGTTTGCTAATTAAAACTATTCAAGTTAATAAAATCATATCTATTTTAATCTTTGTACGCAAATTTTTTCATGTACCGTCATTTTTAATTATTTCCCATTGAGATTAATGAATAACAGCTCATTTTTTCTATAGTTTATTATTCTAGTGTTTCATGCATAGATATCATAGAATTTCCGATAAGCAGTTCATTAGAAATATTCAAATATATTTAAAAATCATTCACGATTTTATTACAAGATATATATTAATCGTTATTTCATGATAAATGTCTCTATTCTTGTTTTTCAGACTATACTTTATGGAAATATTCTATCATAATCAACTTTTTCTGTAATCTATTAATTACCCCCTTGAAACACAATAAGATTAACTCTATAATCACGCTTTTTCATGTAATAATAGACAATGGAAATAATGGTTATTGGAATTTCTATCAATCTTTATTTGATGTTGAAATATAATATTTTAAATCTTACAACTGTACGTGATTAATAAATTATAATATATTACATATATGCTTATGTTTCTTAGTTTTTAAGACAGCTTCGGCAGCTTCTTGAAATATTTTATCTATGCCAATATATTCTAATGCAGAACATTCAAGATACGTATGTGCGTCTATCCTCTTTGCCAATGATTCCCCTTGAAGTGACGTTACAAATTTCACTTTAGATGATGTTTGTTCTTGCTCAGGATTTTCTTTAACTCTTAAGTCAATCTTATTGGCAATTAGTATAATAGGAGATCTTGGACAGTGACTTCGTATTTCAGGTAACCATTTGTCAGTGATATTAACAAATGAATCTGGATTGTTAATGGAATAGCATAAGAGAATGACATCGGTGTCTGGATAGCAGAGGCTTCGAAGGCGATCGAAATCTTCCTGCCCGGCACTGTCCCAAATTACCAATTCAACCTGAAAACAATGTAAAACTTATAACAAAGGTTAATAACATATTTTTAAAGAATCACATTACCGTTCGATTTTTAACTTTGACTTGGCTAATATAATTCTCAAATATTGTTGGAATATAAGCTTGTGGAAAGCCTTTCTGTGAGAACATGCTTAGTATAGACGTTTTTCCGCATTCACCGTCTCCAACAATTAATATTTTTCTCCTTTCATTCATATTTTATCAGTTCAATCTAGCCCGACTGTTTTAAAGGTTGATAGTGGAATGACTATTAACACACTCTTTTATACAATCTTCATAGATCTATTTTAGGAACAAGATTGTGTAATCTAACAGTAGAAAACTGGTAGATATTATTCATAGCTTTAAATGTTCCTTGTTTCAATATTACTAGAATTTTACTACTAATATAAACATTAGTTAGCTTCAGTTTTAAAATTATAGCCCAAGTTTTATCATAATCTTTGTTCTTAGAATGCAATTCTGCTATATTTATAAATGTTTAAAGGCTTTGTATAATAAAAATAAAACTATACTTTACAGTTATAAAGACTCTCTATAAAGTATGAAATTTGTAATTGGAATGTTTGTTCAAAATTTATCAATTACGCAATAACCAATTATTAATGAAATTCGGAGCACGCCTCTATTTTATCGATTGACTGATAAAAAAGGAAAAAAGCAGTTAAATAGTATATAACTATAGATGCACATATATTAATAATAGTAATATATATCTATATATATTATTAACTAAGTATTAGTTCTTATTTTTATTTTCTAATGCATTATTTGAGTATTATGAACAGTTTTAAATTCTATTGATCATCTAATTTGTACGGTTTTGAAAAGCTAAAAAACATGTTTTCGTATTGCAGAGCCCACATTCAATGAAAACTCTCTTATGATTATTTATAGTAAGTATTGATGGTTTTTTTTAGAATATATCAATATACTATAGTAGATAGTGCTTAATAATAGTATAATGTTCCATGATAAAATAAAAATGTTGTAAAAATTTATTCTTGGCGAAATATTACTACTATAAAAACTGGTATAAAAGTTTAAAGTTCTATTTCCTCTATGAAGTTTATATGTACAGTATATGAATTATTGTGGCTGATTTTTTTGTTTGTCCTTTTTGTTTTATTTTTATTTTATTAATAAAAGATAGAAAATTAATTTGGGATAAAAAGGAAACGAATATTAAAAGTTCCCAAAAAAAGAGAAACTCGAAGATTGAAAGAGAATGAAAAAACACTGGAAAAATAAATACTTTTGAAAAGAAGCACAATATTAATTAACATTCAGTATCGTAAGAAAGATGGCTGTTAACTGAAAATTCGCTTCTTCTTCTGGAGAAAACTTCATTATAGTTATTGTCGACTTTAATACCGGTTAAATCTTGATAAGTTGAATTTAATCGTTCAGCTCTATATCTACTTTCAACAGGTGTAGAGGCACATGGAGATTCTTCGGCAGATTCTGAAAGTCGTCTGCATCCGACAGTAGGAAACTTTTCTTGGCCTATAGATGTTATTCTAGATATAGAACTGATATTGATCGGGTCTTCACCGTGATAAGTTCGTTCTTCAATTATAGTACTAAAATCAACCATTTTAAGACGTTTATTGCATTTAGGTACAATTCTAGAAGGAGTATATCTGGAATCATCTAATTCTATACCTTCTTCATGTTTCCTAAATAATGATGAACATAAACTAATGCTATCAATATGAATAGCAATTGTTAGTATAATAAAAACGAGTAATGGAAGAAGGATAATCATCCCAAAAAACACTTTTAATAACGAATAATCAACTTCTTCTGTTTTCCTCAATTCTATACGCAAATAATAATATTAATTGTAATAGAATGAAAATAATTACTATTAGTTTCATTTAGTTAATCCCTTAGTGTGAGAAATAACATAATCACCTTGCTCATATTTACTTAAAAACTGTTCAAAATTATTGTTTTCCATCATTTATAGACTGATGATAAATTGTTTAACTATCCCTCTAAATATTATTCAAGATGTGTTTATACTGTTTTCAATTGATTGAGAACTGTTACCTCAAAAGAACTAAAAAAAAAACAAAGTTAGTCACATGTCTCAATAGTATCGTTTATACCTTTATACTAATATATACTATATAAATTTATATATATAGATATAAGTAGTCCGCATAAAAATTGGAACACCATAAATTTTGATAGGCCGAACATTAAAAATCTTTTTCACAAGGAAAAAAGATTTTTTTTTTTATTCTTTCTGTCTTAAATATTAGATTAAATCTAGATATATAAAGGAATATCTTCTAAATAGAATTTAAGTAAGTTTTTATATTATTTTTTTGGTTTTATATTATGTATTGTTTTATTGATTTTTTTTCTTAATCGGCCGCGCCATATAATAATTGGAACAGGGTGTTTAATGTTCATATTTTTTCTATTTTTCAATGTAACCACCCTCTTTTTCTAAACACTTGCTGACTCTACGCCCCATTCCCCTGTACAAATTTGGTAACAAGTCTGGTTGCCTTTTTACAACCTCGTAAGAACACTTTTGGATTTTCTTCCATAATTCCTCCTCAGATTCGAACTGTGGACCATCATAAACAAGTTTTTTGGTGAGATGCCACATATTCTCAATTGGGCTGAGGTCAGGGCTCTTTGCTGGCCAATCAAGAGGGTGGATGCCATTCATTAATCAAATTACTTTAGACCAGTCTAGATTATCGCTGATCATTTTAAGGCAATACATTTTTCTTCTTTCGCAATTGTTGGATGTGAGGTCAGATCTTTGTCTCACTCGTTCATACTTGAAATTTTGTCTTTTCAGCTACCTCTGAATTGTTGCTATGCTTACATCTACTTCTAATTCCTGTAAAATTTTTCCTGCTATCACCGTTTCCTTATTTATTTTCAATTTCCTTATTATTCTTTTCATCCTGCCAATGTCTCTCTCTCTGTAAGTCTCTTTGGATGACCCCTATTCTCCTATTCTAGTGGATTGTATCGTAGAATATTGCTAACTGATGATGGTACCATCCCCAAAACCCTTGCTGTTGCTCTTAATTTTCCTATTTCCTTATATTTCATTAGTACAAGATCCCAAATGTCTTTACTCCACGTCATAGTTAAATAAATACAATAAAAATCAACTAATACAATTAAAATTGACAATAATAGATAAACTTAACTTGGAGAATTGAATAAGTCAAGAAATTTTAGTTTACAATGTTTTTTTTAATGCCAAACCGGATATCCAGTGTCTGTTCCAATAATTATGAAACGTGGCCAAATAAAGAAAAAATTGATGAAAATTACGAAAAATATTTTGCTAATAATATTCCCAATATCATCATTTTCTCCATTTTTTTTTCAATATTACGTAAATATTACTCTTTATCTATATAAATTTAGACAAAAAAAACTATTTTCGTGGGAAAAAACATTTTTGACCGTTATTTTAAATTTGGCCTATCAAAATTTAGGGTGTTCCAAAATTTATGCGTATTGTGCTATAAGCTGGCAAGTTGCTTACAGTCCAATTAAAATGGATTTAGGCAATTTCACAAGACCTAGGAATTAAAACTGTCCCTCTTTGAAGGCTACAGAAATAAATTTTTCTAGATCTTATCTATAATTTTGTTAAATCTCTTCGATTTCGTCATCTTTTTTATCTAATAGCTGGACAAAAATTACACTGTCCAAAATAGTTGCCTCCTACATCTGAATGTTCTAAATAATAATCGAAGGTCATAACAAAAATAAACTGAAGAAGATAAAAAGTATTATTTTATGATTAAAGCTTTGTAAAGTTCGAATAATCGACTGTTGAAGGAACAGCGCCAAATCAATAAAACACTTATTGATAACTTTCGCACAATCATGCTTGTTTTGTCTGCAAGTTAGTAATTCCGAATTTAAAGAGATAGCATTAATGGACTTATCTCTGGATTCTAATTTAATCTTAACCAAGGTTCTTTTGCTCTAAATCGTGTTGAATTTAAAATATGAACATCTGAAAGGTGAATCTAAAAAACTGGTTTTAATATTTAGGTGCTCAGTGAATCAACGTATTATTTAGAAGATTGTCTCTTCGTTGTTACAACTTTGAACGGACGACTTGATAATATAACGCCATATTCTCGAATTCTAGGATCATCAGTAATTTCGAATCCTTCGGCAAATTCAAAATTATAACTTTGTACAAGCCAACAGAATAATAAAAATATCCTATTTTTAGCTAAAACTTCTCCAGGACAGTGTCTCTTTCCTGAACTAAATGGGAAAAATTTCGTTCTGTTCGGATGATTCGCTGGAATGATATCTCCATTTTCGGAAAGAAATCTCTCTGGTATAAAATTCCAGGGATCATCCCATATCTTTTCTGAGTGGCTGTATGTAAAATTGTTAATGTATATGTGGGTATCTTTCGGGATGTCATAGGAGCCAAGTTTTGTGTCTTCTACAGCTCTGTGGGGAATAAGAATGGGAACGTGGCTTATGAATCTCAGCAATTCCAAAATACATGCTGAAAGATAGGGCATAGTCTCCTTATCTGCAAGTGTCGGTATTCTTGTCCCAAGTACTTCATCAACCTCCTTTTGAATCTTTTGTTTAATTTCTTTTCTATTGCATAATACCAGAATGAATGAATATATGGTTTCAGACGTTGTTGCAAAACTAGCAGCAAATAGGTCACCAACAGTAATAAAGAAAAGATCAAAATTGAAAGGTTTGCCTTCAGCTTTGCAATCCTCCAAAAAAAATTTGTATAAAAGATCCCCAATTCCTCGAGCCTTATCAGGTTGGTAGCTTCTAATCAGTTCTCTTAACTCTGGTTCCAAAAATGATCGTCGAGAATCAATGCATTGTTTTATATCATTGCAAATTGAAGATGGTATATTCAATTTATGAAAGAATGGAAAACTATCTAGTATGCTGCCTTTTGGAGATATAGATGCATTGTAGCCTTTAGATTCTCCTTCAACATATCTTGTAATGTTGGGATCATTCCAATCGAATTTTTTAGCAAACATTAGAGATGCCATTATATTAGTTATACATCTTATAATCTGTTCTTTTATATCGAAAGGCTTGCCTTCGAAAGATTCTATTACTTTTATAAAATCTTGACCAACTGCATTTGTCACAGATTCCAACTCCAGTAGGCCATTGTTATAAACTTTCATTGCGCGCAAAACACTTTTCTTTAAGAATGACCAATTTTTTCCTTCGCCAAACGTTACATTCTCTCTTTGTTCAAACATTAGGTGAAAGCGGAACGTCTGTGGTCTTCCTGCAAATTCAGCTCCGTTTTTGGACAATACCTCCTTTATGTAATCCTCGTTGCTTACAACAACAATGTTTGTTGAAAAAAGTCGCAATTTGTAAATATCACCAAAAGTTTCAGCAAAAGACATAAAGGAAAGATGTGGTTTATCTCTATCTATCTGTAAAATATTCCCTACAATTGGTAAACTCTTCGGTCCAGGAATGTTTAAACTTTTTGATCCGAGCGCATACTTGAAAATTAAAGCAATAACGAGAACCAAACCAAGAAAACCTGTTATTAAACTTTCCGCACTCATCATGTGTAAATTCAGGAACTGGTTCAGCTTCCACTCGTCCGTCTAAATCAATATTGTATTGTGTAATTCTTACTTACCAAACCTATTGTTTAAAGTTATACTTAAACGACACCTAGCTAGTGATAATTACACCTAAAACAAGCCACCATGTTAATGCATATTCTATTTGGGGGATAACACATTTGAACTTGAGTCCTGCCTCTGAGTAAACAAACATTATCAGCAATTACAATAGTTGTATCTATTAGCAGATAGAAAAAATAATGGCCTTGTTTACATCGTAAAGAAATAGATAATATATTTATATTTATGAATATAAAAATACTTTATATATGCAATGAAAAATATTCTCTGCTTTTACTTTTACAATTGAGATGGCGCTTTATCCATATGAAATACGAAGGTCGTAAGATTATTGATTACTCCATATAGGTGCGCCAGAAAGTAACATCTCAAATGTTGGACGAATGTTTAATAGACAAGCCAAATGTAAAGTAAGTTCATGTGTAAAATATACTTAAACATATTCTAAAATATATTGATTATTAATTAATGTTGATAGGTAATTGTTTTAAAAATCTTGATTACCATTCTCATCTTTTACTCTTCCTTATTTACTCTACATGCCATTTACCATGGAATATTCAAGTATAAAATATAAATTAAAATAAATCCTATATTCTCGTAAATGTTAATAAAACAATAAATCTCGAAATAGCGTTAACGACTTCAATCCAAGAATGCTATTGCACATCAACAACTGGATTAAATTAGAAAATTGTTGTGTGACTTATTCAAAATCTCAAATAGGTAGGAGAATGAAATAAACTATTTTATAGCATAGAATTAATAATTACAACATAAAAAGTAACTTTTATTCTTTATAATTAGCTGTTTTTGCTACACTTGTGACCAATTTTGTTGTTACTGGTATTATTAATCCTTTTATTATTAGATCCCAATATGTTTGGGATTATAATATCACAAATTTCATCTTCCACATATCTTTATCATGTATTGGTAAGTTGAATATTTATTAGTTTATTACTATATTTATATAGTTATATATAGAGTGTATATATTTAAATTTATAAAATTATAGTAACTATGGAAGTACCATCCAATTGGTCTTGGTGGCTGTGTCTAGGTAAAAATAATTTTCAATTTTTTATCGATCGTTTATGATTATAATCTTTATTTATCTTCTTTTTTTATTATTTAGCATTATTCTTATTACTGCAAACTGTTCTCTCTCAAATTATTGCCTATTATCTTAAAGATTGCTTAATGAAGAAAAAAGACTCGTCAATGAAATGGTATCCTGGTGCTGGGATTGTTTTTTCAATGAAAAATACTCTAATTCTTAAGTCTTCAAACTCAACGGAAACATAATTAATCGTACAAATGTTTGTTTACAAGTCTTAAACTAAATAATAATCGAATTTTTCCCCGCAATAATATACAATATTTTTATGTTTAAATATTGTCTGCTTTGAACTTATCATAACAATATGTCAAATAGATGTCTCTACTAGATCTTCTATGATATTGTTATCATTAGCTACTGATTGAAAAAAAAATCAACGAAAATCTCTTAATCCATAATCCTTTGAAAATTCGAAGAATAAAAGAGTAAACAAAGATAAAAAAAAAGCAAAAAATAGGACTAAAGTACTTAAAATAAAACTTTGCAACAAACGTGGGTAGTATATAATACAGTATTGCAATGAATATGAATTATTAGTTAACTATAGACTAAAGAATAGATATTGTATATTATAATAATGAATTTATTTGGAAATTAGTATTAAGCTATTTAAAGATAATACATTTGACAGATTTTAGTGCATAATGTTCATTTTTTCTTCACTGGGTGTAAAAAATAAATTACAGATTTTGCATATATAAATAAACCTGTCAATAAAAGGAAAATGGATAAAATATATGAGTAGTCTAGATCCACGAATTAAGAAGTGATATCTTTTCTAAAGAGAAAACAACAGCATCAACTTATCGATAACTGTTTCTCAGAATTATTCAATTTTTTACAGATTTGTTCGTGTATTTCCTATCCCTGTTATAGCCTAAGTTGGACATTTTTAACTTACCTAAGATAATTATTCAATATGCAATACATGATTAAGTAATTAAAGATGCTTTGAAATATTTAAAAGAGTAAAAAATATATAAGGAATGATAAAATGTTATAAAAAAGAGAAATCTTGTCTACTCGACCAAAGAATAATTAAGGCTCCCCTTGTTCTTTACTATTAATCAGGAATTTCTATAAAGATATCAATTAATCAAAGGAAATGTATCATACAGTAAAGACATATTATATATATGATGTATAATGTGTACATTACACATGATTTATAGGCCTTCCCAAAAATTGTCTGCTTTTGTTAAAAATTAAATTAGCGGAGTATAACTGATGATAAAAAATTTGTTCCGTATGTAAACACACATTTAAAAATGCTACGACCTTTAAGCAACAATTCAGCTGAGAAAAAACTGCAATATTTATAATCAGCCAATATATTAGAAGAGTATAAATAATAGATAATATCTTTCATAGGGAAAAAGATTATTTGTTGGTAGAAATTAATTCAACAAAATAAATAGACGAGTACAACATAGCAACGATATTCTTTGCAGATTGGAGCTCTCGGTTGGAGGTTAATGTAACATCAGAGTTACTTATATAAAGGTAAGCCAAATAGATTCTATTATAGAGTTTACAGTATAATAGTTTTATTCGTGTATTAAGGTTTATAATTTTATTTATCTCTTTCTCTTTTGTTTTTACAATTTACGACTAATTTTCTGTTTATTTGAGAATTTACCAAAAAAAAATTAAAAACTAAATAGGCCTACAACTATTACTATTTTCATCATTTTTAAATTCAGATTTCAATTATAATTAACTAATAGTCTTTTTTAATATTATTGTTCTTCTAGCCAATTAAAGAGAACTACTTTAAATGTAGTATAATTGTTGTCTTTCCAACAAAAATTAAACTTGAATCATCTTTTGGATTTAACATGATCGGATTACTCTCTGACCGGCTTAACGGGCAGACTAGATTCTACAATTCGCGTTTTCAGTTGAAAATCCTCATGAATCACCATGGCGTTAGAGCTAAATTATTAGCCTTACTCGTTATTTCTCTAACAATTTTGATATTATTAATATTGCTTGACCGTCCAGTTACATCTAAGATACCGGAGGAGATAAAAACTTTAGAAGAGAGAAGAAATGACTATCGCAAAATACTGGAAAGAGAAGTAAAAACTGATAAAACCGCTTTTAAAAGGCATAGAAGTTGGAATTTTAATATTGTGGAGAAAAAATTAAGAGAATCCCAAGTATTTGATCTAGGAATAATATCTATTGATTCGAAGACCTTAAAAGAAGCGCTAGATAGAAAAGTAGCTGTTAAAGATTTTAATTATTAGTTGAATTTTGTTTTTTTATTAAAAAAAATGATAAGGAATTAAAGTTGTTTTCTGTTATGCCTATGCTGCCGTTTATAATTTGTGAACAAGAGAATGCTTTTAAATCGGAGAAAGTTTTGTTATTTAAATATTCATCTACTTTCGAAATAAGCGAATTTTAGGCGGTACAAAGTGGAGAGAAGATAGAGAGAAGAGACAGAGAAAATATCCCATTGTAATACTGGGCGTGTAAGATGGCAGTGTGTTATTGTTGGGAAAGAGCAATATACAGTCTGTTCGCTTTTAACGAGATATTGTTTTATTTATGACACAATCATCCCGCTGGGTCGTAAATATAACAAGCCTATTCAAAAAAATTGATCCCGTTTCTTGTACATTAATTCAAATTTATAACTTATTTGAGCCTGTTAACCTCTAATGGCTTTTAATTTTTATGAGAAAAAAAATCCAAAAGTTATCAAAAGGCCTATGGAAGCAAAATTTGATAAAAAGAAATTAGAACTTTTTATGTAAATAAATGCAGCATAATGTAAACTGAAGACAATACAAAAGTTCCTCTTAGGTATTTTTCTTTCTTTCTTTTTTTACAAGGCATGCAGGAAAGGGTTGGCAAGGAAGTAGTTGTTTAAGGGAAAAAACGTAATGCAATTTTCCCATGAAAATCAGTTAATATCATCTTTTCCCTTCGATGTTAAATTATGTTTTGTAGTTATACTTTACAAATAACAATTAAAACGGGGTTAGATTAAGCACCAAATTAATTTTTTCAATATAATTTATTTTATACCGTTAAATATAAAATTTTGAAATGAAAAAAGCGACAGTTTTGGAAGCAAGCTATAATAATTACCACGGAGTATTACAGAAGTTGTTTAAGTAATAGATGAAGTTTTTTTTGCATAGAAATCTATGTCGCCGTAAACATTAATCATAAAGAGTCTACAAAACACAACACCTATTTCGTTTCTTCTTTTTTACTTGTAACGCTGCTCGAGTAGCGGTTTCGAACACTTCTCTAATACCCTCTTTCGTCTTAGCAGAACACTCCAAATAGGCAAATGCACTAATTCGATCAGCCATACCTTTTCCTTCATCCGATCTTACTGGTTCTTGTTTCATTTTCATCAATTCCCTTTTGGTGGCCTCGTCGTTTCTTAGGTCTTTTTTATTACCTACTAATATTATAGGTATATTGGGGCAAAAGTGTTTGACTTCAGGTGTCCATTTTTCAGGTATATTATCCAAAGAGTCAGGGCTATCAATGCTAAAGCACATAAGTATGACATCTGTGTCAGGATAAGAGAGAGGTCTTAAACGATCGTAATCTTCCTGCCCAGCAGTATCCCATAGAGCAAGTTCTACCTGAAAAAATTGATGATCGAAAGTTAATAAGAAATCATTTAAATTACCACAGATGCAAGCATTCGTCAGGCTATAATTAGTTCACTTTTATTGAACAGTTCTAATGGAAATTTTATAAATAGATACGTCAATGCTTAAACAAAGATAGGAATTCATAACAACTTTTATTAGATTGAGTTGCCAAAATTATATCCCCTGGATGTTTTTTGTAAATAATTTAAATCGTGCATTTATCGAACGTTTTTCAAGGCCATCTAGAGAGAAGAATGTTAAATACTTGAAATATCTATGACTCAATATATGCCTTTAAGATAGACAGGTGTCGTCTGCTCTAGACCTATTTCATACAATTTTGTTATGACCCCCACGTGACTAACAAACAAACGAAGAAAAGGAATATGCACCTGTTTGCAATCTACTTCTATATCAGCCACATAATTTTCAAATACAGTAGGAACGTAGACTTCTGGAAATTGATCCTTCGAGAAAACGATTAATAAACATGTCTTTCCGCATGCTCCATCTCCAACAATCACTAATTTTTTCCTGATGGCCGCCATTTCTGTGAAAACAAGCGATCTTTTGTAAATTTACAATTGACAAGCGATGTTTATCTAACAAGAATGTGGACATCCACCTATTTTGACCTGTTTCGATAACGCTAACAAAAATGGCGAATTTTATTTGACTCATTGTGTACTATAGAAGACCGAAACTTACCTATTTTCTATATATTTATACAAAAATGTTCAAGATATTCAATGTATATATACTTGTTATGAATTAGAACCGAAAACAGTAAGAAAATTGGTTAAAAATCACAAAGAATTTCACAATGAAAGTTGACGGCAAAATGACGAGGCGGGGCTTCTTTTATACTTTTTTCTTCCGTACTATTTTTAGATGGTTGTTAGCCAATCGAAGCCAAGAATTTCAAAAAGAAAACTGGTATGGGAAATTACTGATTTGACAAATAGTTCCTCATCCAATCATCTATTCGAAATTTGTAATTGGAAGCCAGTGCCCGTCTATCTCGCCAAAATTCAAACTAATTCTAGGCTGAAATAGTTATTTTCACTGTATGTGTGCATGTAATTGCTTCTTGGCTAAAAAAAACCAGCTATATAAACGAAATATCTAAAATATATGCTCTTTGGTTGAGAGAATTTCGAAGTATCACGTTGAAAAAAGTCAATTTTTTGTTAAACACTTTATCACTTGTCGTTAACGTCATAGATATTGAATGAGAGTCAACCTTATCGACTAAATATCTAATTTCACAAATTTTCAATCAATTTAAATGTAGTCTTATCTGTTTAAAGACGGTTATATTGAAGGGTCCTATTATCCAAATTCGATAATAATCGTTTTATTATTCTTCTTGAAAACTTCAAGTTTTATTAAAAGATTTACCAAATTTTTGATGAACTGCGTATTGTATTGTAAATGCAAATAAACAACAAATAGAAAATAATTAAAATAACAAGATAATAAAGCCATGTAGTAGTCATAGAAGTTAAATTATATGTTTTAAGCCTATCATTAGTAATAATCGTGAAATCATTACTTTCAGCAAAGAAATTATACGGCAAATAACACCATCTGTTTTCTAATAATTTAATCAATCAATAATCGGCTTTTTAGAGAATCAATAATCGTAATTTACCAATTGAAATGTATCCTATGGAAATTTTTATTAAAAAAAAAAAACTACCTAGACTTGGGCTTGTCTGTTTTATATCAGTTATTCATTGTATATATACTGTTAATATGCGGAGGTTGAATTGAGGATATTAGTCAAATTTTCTTTTAGTTTCGGCATCATTCGCTAATACTATTCTCAATTGATTTGTTGTAAAAATTTAAAAAGGTTTATTCTTTCTATTCTTTCAATCTAATTATATTATTACTATTTATAACAAATTTATATATACTGTTGTTTGTTGTTTACTTTCTTTCTGTTTTCTTCCGTTGAAAAGACTGAGTATTTAAAAAAAAAAACAAAGGGAAAAAACAAGAATAATACTGTTTAATTAATCAAGTCATCGTTATTTTTGTTAGGAAGGCACATGAGAAACATTTTTAACTATAAAAAAAACATAAAAAGTATGTCAAGTAAAAATGTACGCATGTACATAGTTTGCTTTGATATGTCAGAGTATGCTATTGGTTGTTTTTAAATTATATATTCCTGTTTCGCTTTCATTTGATTCAAATTTTTCTATGATATAGTCCTATGTGATTTTATTTCTAAATCATGATGTGTCTGATGAGGCGGCTGATGATGTTGATATTGTTGATTGGTCTGTTGATAATTCTTTCGACGTTTATGAGCTATTTTCTTAACTGTTAGAGTAGAACCTTCTTTCGTAAAGCTTCTCACATTTGCTTTTGAATAGCTTGTCTTTTTTCCTTTAAACGGTCTTTGGAAATGTAAATTACTTAACTCAGGATCCAGTTGGGGAGCGACAGATGCTACTGAAGCTGTTAATTGCTGCCTATGGGTATATTGAAGAATTTTAGGTAATTTATCTATTTTCATAGAAGGATCACTGTCTGTGAGTTTAATTGAAGAATCTGCTGAATGATGTAATAATAATTTTTGTCTCGCTATTTTTAATTTTTCTTCTCCCGATTCAACTAAACTTTTTGAGCTGGATGAAAGAGATTCTCTATCTCTATCCTTGTTTTTATCTGCATCAAAAGAATTCTGTAGGAATAATTTATGTTTTGTTGTCTTTAGTTGAGAATCCGAGGTTTCCAGACTAATTTTTGAACTGGAATAGACAAATTTCTCCTTTTCGGACAAATACCTTTGCTTCGCTTTGAGTTGAGATTCGCTCGCTTCCATAATACTTTTTGAGGAGAGTAGTTTTGGCTGTTGCTTATCCTTGTCAGAATTAACACTCAGTCTTTTCGTCTTTTCCTCTTCTTTGTTCGTTCCTTTTTCTTTTTCATCCTTGTCAACTTTTTCAATCTTTTCTATTGCTGGAGACGGTTTTTTAACTTTATGATATTTAAGTTTGACTTTAGGAGTTTCTGGTCTTGTTTCTGGTCTTTTTTCTGGCTTTTCTTCTTCAGCCGACTCGTTAGGTGATTCAGGGGCTGGCTTACTTGTTCTAGGAGTCTTAAACACAGGAAGACACACCTTGGTGCCGGAAACACTTAAATCAAGGCCTATATAGGGAGGTAAGGCCACATGGTTGGCTTTATAAATCAATTCAAACATTCCCGTATCGCTATTTTTATCGAATCTCCTATCTAAAATTACTTTTACTGTATCTTCTTGAACGTCGTTCATAAGGCGAGTTAGCGTTGGAGATTTTCCAGAACCCATTGTTGGCGAACAATTGATTTCAATAAGCCATGGTTCAAGATCGTCGGCTATCATAAAATCTGCTCCGAATAGCTCAAAAGAGTTCTTTCGACAATCGATACTATCTTGAGAAGCCTGAAGCGTACACGTTATGGAATTTTTCATTCCAGGATAAATTTTTTCATCCCATTTATCTGTTTTATATTCTTTTAACCAACTTTTAAATTCTTCTAGACTCCATATTCTAGTTTTAGGTATTTTTGATTCAGCATCAATAACACAATGCTTTTGTACACATTGATTTGATAAATGAACAGCAACGTCTTCTAGGTTATCTAATGTAAAAACCTTTGAACAAAATCTTATATAACAAGTTTTATAAAACCATATTGTCAATGGATTCCAATCGGTTACCAAGAACCATTGTCTTATATCGAATTTAGTAGAATGTATAAGTAATGGACGTTCAACGTATTTTTGAACAACCCATTTTGATTCTCGTTGACCAACAGCACTACGCGATAAAGAGACGATATCTTCTAATCTACTAGAGCATCTGATGCCTCTACCTCTTGATTTGCATCCGGGCTTTATGACCCAAACGTTTCGAAGTCCATCAATTTTATGCTGAGGTCTTAGCTTAAGAAATATATCAGAAATCTTTTTAATTTCTACTATAAATTCATCGGTTTTGGGCAACCAACCACCGTCATGAACAAGTTTGTAATAAGATGAGAGAAAATCATCCCAAAAAGAGTCACTGTTTTTTGTCATGCAACTGCTCGAATCGTCTAAATCATCATGAGCCTTAAAGCGTATAAAATCTTTACAAAATGCTATTGCATTAGTTAGAAGGGAAAGAGGTAACATTGGTTTGGAGTCCTTATCTTCCGTTGATTCGCCAGTCATTTGGTTCCTTTCTAAAACCCATTTAAGAACACTCTCGCAAGCCGTGAGGCGAAAGTCCTCTACAAAGGCTGCTCTATCTTCTTCATTTGCTATACGGAATGATCTTGGTAAGAATTGATTTGGATCTTGCTTTTCGAACCAAGGTACATCTCGACAAGATAAGCATAAACCTGATTTTGTAGTAAAACTCCCTGCTCCCGAATAATGATTAATAATCTGTTGACATCTGCAATAGAGAAAACCATTTGAAATAAAAAAAAAAGGAAACAACTATTCTCTTCGCACTCTGTACAGTAAAATCCTTAATACATCAAATATTTATTGAATAAAAATTACAATAATACAGTTTATTTAAAGCTGTAAAAAAAAAAAATCTATAAAGATAACTTGCAAGCTAACTAGTATCTGTTGGCCTCAGGCAATAAACAATTCACAACTGCCTCCTTAAGAAGAGATAAAAGTGAAGGACACTAGAATATTTCCAAGTAAAATGATAAAACAATTTTCTCTTTGGTGAGGCTCAACATATTTCTGGTATATGCCTTTTGTAACAAAAATATACTTAATAACCGACATTTTATAAATATTTAGACGGAATCTATATTAATTGTATAGCTATTGATTACGTTGCTATTATCAATTCGGTTGTTTGTCTAAACTCTTTGAAAGGTAATGTCGATAACAAACAGGATAAATGCAAATATCTTTCAATGAAAAATATTATTGAATTCAGTTTTGATAATGTAATGTGACAATTTTTAATGACACTCGAATTTCTATGATTTATTTAAAAGCTATACCTTAATTTGGCTCCTTCTGTTGCTTCTTTACTACGTATACACCAAATAAATGTAGGAGGAATATTCCGCACCATTCTTGACATGATACCATAAATTCCATCCTCCTCTTCCCAAGGCTTCGGCCCATCGTCGTCGTCTGCATCTGTAAGATCGTCGTCGTCGCTATCCGATTCCTTTTCGTCTCTTTCCTCATTCTTTCTGGGTGATTTTAGTTTGCTTGGTTTGTAAAACCTCTCGACCCATCCCCTTCGACGAAGGGCGGCTCTAATAGGTCTGTAAGGGCCTTGTATTGTAAAAATTTTTTTGTTTCTGATTGCCTTTTCTACTAATTCTTTAGCCAATTTCAAACGATCGCTATTGATTGGTTTGCTTTTGGTTGGTGGAAAACTAGCTCTTAGCGGCATAGTTTTGCTTCTAGACAGCGAAGTTGCTATTCAGAAAGGGAAAAAAATCAATTCATAGTCATTGAATATGTCTCTTTCAACACACAGCAAATCAAATGAAAATCGAGAATTATAGACACGTCAGGTGATATATTATTAACCTGGTCTAATCCAATTAACGAATGTTCGACTACGACGTAGATTATTTCGGCTTTTTCCATGATTTACTGGAAAATTATGTGCTTTTAACAACTATTTAGAGTGCAACCACCACCTTTATGAACATTAAGCAATACTAAACTGCCAATTTGAATTCATATCATTCTATTAATCATATTTCCACGAATAATTCTATCATTGTCATGCCTATTTCCTAATCTTTTATCACAGACTAGTTGTTATTCAAATTTACATCTACTTTGTCAATGATATTGCATAAATTTAGCTATATACGACACAACAAAACCATGCAGTTAATAAAGTTTAAATATGGAAACCCTTGAATAATTTCCTCTCCTTTATTACAAAAGGTCTAGTTATAGAAAGAAAAATGATTTTTCGGGAAGATGATTCGGAGGTGACAATCTATAGAGTTAGAAATAAGAAAAGAAATGTTAAACAGAACGTTTTAAGGTCAAATTGCTAAATAAAAAAAAAATCAAACAAATGAGAAAGAAAAAAAGCCAACAAGAATTTGATATAAAGAAATTTAATAGAAGAAAATATTTTTGCTTTATATTACGTTCCCGAAGGATTACTGGATCAATGATAAATCCTTTATAAATTATGAGGAATTGATCAACTACTTCATATATTAATATTATATGAATGTAAAATTATAGCTACTCTATAGTCTTTACTTTTTTAAAAAAATATCTCCATATTATATCACCATTTTTTAATGCTTTTCCTTTTAAAAACAATGTCAAAGAATGAGCTTTCTTTACAAATTTCTATCGATCTTTAACAACCCATAATGAGATAAACGGAGATTAATTGTCTAATAAAAAATTTATATAGTGACTACATTTTCATTGATCAAAGCAAGTGAACATGAAAATATCTAGTTATAAAAAGATTAGGATTATAATTTTGTGAGACTTACTCATTTCTTATAGTTTCTTTCAGTTACTACTCTATTTTATAAACATTTCTTTTGACAATAAATCACTTATTCATGCTAAATCAATAATTAAATACAAACTATTCAAATTTTAAAAGAAATAAATTAGGGAAAATAAACAATGCTTCAGTCAGCCGAAACATTTATCCAGTTTACTCAACTGCAATTCTAGACTTGGCCAATAACAAAAGCTGTTTATACTACAGAATAATCCTTGAAAAGGACGAAAGTATAAGGTTTTCATATACTTTTCTAAGGTCGGTCAACTTCTATATTATAAAATCTGTAAGAATTATACTTGTAATAGGCTAAAAAATTACCTAGAACACACGTTGAAGGTAACGATTTTCTAAAATAGGAACAAGAACTTATTTTAAGACAATTAAGTGGCTTATAAAATGGGTATGTTAATGTTTCCATTCTAATTTTATCCATTTCATTCTAGAGTAGTACGTGACTAGTTTAGAGACGCTCACATTTTTTTATTCAATCTTTAAATGTTTCATGAAAATTTTCAGTAGTGGTTTTTATTGATTTATCTATAAATTAAAAAATTAACTACTCTCTTGTTGCATGATACACAAAGGCTATATGATATATTAATCTATATGCTATATATATAAATATATATACCTATCTACATATAATATATATATATATATATATATATATATATATATATAAAAGGGTAATATTGTTACTAATGGATTCGAGAGGCAATTTAATATTTGTATAATTAGTATAAGTTTTAACATTTAAACTACAGAATCAAACCTATTGCTGGGGGAGAAGGACTCTTCGATGTATCCGTTTGAGAATCGTTATCTTCTTTGTCCATCTATTCAAATGTATGGCAATTATTTATTGAATACATTAATCAATATAAACTAAATAATATACCATTTTCTTTTGTTTTTGTATATGTTGCTTTTGGCGAGCCATAAAATCCAATTCAATTTTCTCTATTATTTTATAACTCTGACTGTTCAATTTTGGTTTAAATGTGAATTCTGAGTTATTTCGGTAAATTTCTGCTTTGCTCATGTTTGGTGGAGCTACTTCAAGGTCGTTTTTTTACTCTGCAGACCAAATCATACTTCATTAAAGTGCTATAAAGCTTAAACGAAATATTTACACCATTACTTCGCCAAATTGCTACTTTTTCCACGATTTTTCCACCAATTTCGAAGTTTTAGCAAAATTTCACCAAGTTGTTATTAAAGTTGGCGGCGCGTCTTAGTTACTAAGTTGAAATGCTAAATGCGCATGCGTTAGCTTGGGCAAAAAATTGCTGTCATCCTATATGTACCATTTTCCGGCGCATTAATTTATTGTTTTTGTTTAGTACATAATAAAAAGACGGCTATGAACAAGGCGTTTTCTACATAAACTGAATTGATAATGAATGATATTCGGTGAGAATGCGGACAAACTGTCATCGAAACCTTGGAATATGATATTTTTGTAATCGATATAAATTATATCATATTATCGCTCGCAGATTTAAATTAAAATCATGTCAGAATCTCCTCATTCTTTGACTATAGAAGTAGCAGCGGAGCAACCTCCATGTCAACTTTTTTCCTACAGATTAACATGTGATAGAATATTGATATTAGAAAGACTACGTAGTACTTTTTCACTTAATGGGTTAACTTGGTCTGAACTTATGTGGAATAGGGTAAGTTTCGCTTTACTCACCAAGGTTATGCATTTTTATATCTATATTTAAAAATACAATAAATAAACTTTTGTTTTAGACTATTTAAATTCTTTTTTATGATTATTATAATAAAAGTGTAAAAGCTCGATTATCTTCTTTGCACAATGCTTTAATCCATCATATATTTAATATCTATTATCAAAACCGTTGAATTTAGCGGCAATAGAAAAATGGAGAAAAAATTATTGCTTTACTATAAAAAACATATTTCTGCTTTTTAACAGTCTCCCATGAACTATTGCTGTCTGTGGGTATTTTGGCGTCTTGGACTCGCTGTTTATGCTGCCGCAATGCTTGCAATTTTTTATAATGAAGGAGAAAGACGAGATGATTTGTGTATCTTTATCCTTTTGTTATTGGCTGCAGCAGAAACTTTCTATGCAGCTAAAACGGGTTACTATTCTTTGAGACAACTAAATTATTCAGCAAGCAAACCAGCATCTTTTTGGGATAAAGTTATTTGGATATTAGTTCAAAGCTCATATAATCTAACAACATTATTAACAATATTTTTGTTTATAGCATTTTTTGAAAGTGAATCGTATGATACACGATTATGGTCGATACAGTATAGAAGTATCGATAGATTAATGGGTTGTTTTATGCCTATTCAATTTGTTTTAGCAGTAGATGTTGCTGTTAGTGGCATGCCGATTAAAATAGGACACTTTATCTATCCTCTAATTTGTCTATTCGGCTATACATTCTATGGATATTGTATGAACGCTAGATACTCGAAAAAGTATACCAGATTAATCGTTACCCACATGCTATTGTTATATTGTACCAACTGCTTACCTGTTCAATTCTTTTTATGTTTTATAGATTGTATTTTCAGCAGAAGGAGAAGAAGTGAAGCTTGAATTTTCTATAAATCTGCAATTTAAAAGTATAGATATATATACTATATATTTGTTAATCTGTTTAGCATTTAATGCGTAGAGAAACAGATTATAGTTAGTGAGGTTAATCACTTTTACAGAACGTATTTATTTGACAATTTAGAACAAATTTTATCTCAAGGTGTTCCAATTAATTATTATATCTTCCAAGAAAAGAAAACACTGCAACGTGAACAATTTTCCTTTTGTTTTTTTTTATGATTTATTTGAAAACTTTCCTAGTCTACTTCTACTTTTACTATCTCCTAAAACTTTTTCTTTATTGCCGTACATTATTGCTGTTTTTACATGGAAATTGTTATATTTGACAATCTATTTTAAAAAATTTTTATATGTCAATTTTTCAATGACTTTAATCGTATTATATATGATTCATTTAATACATATAAAAGGAAACGAATTTGTAAATTCCTTGCCCCGCCCCTTTTTATTACCTTTTCACCACTTAAAACTTATTTAAGCGTATAATTGTCCCGTATATTTTTCTATTTTTCCTTTTTATATTCTCTTTATGCTGTCCAATTGTTTTCATCTTTTCCAGCTATCTATAATTAAATACATAAAATAAACTGCACAAAAGTGATTTTGTCTATCGTGAAACTTTTGCACTTGTTGAACTATTTACCAATAGCGCCATCTATCTTTATTATCAAATAAAGATTCCCTTTCGCGATTTCGGTATTAATTAGTCCGTCCGGAAGAGTCATTAATAAATACGAAATCGAACAATTATTTCACTAAATAGACATTTAACCATTTTCTTTTTATTATTAAAAAATACATGTCAAGGAAAGATTGTTAACCTTTCCATCTCTTATGTAACATTAGCACAAAGAAACATTAATTGGAAGAATGAAATAAAGAAGTATAATAAAGTTTAATATTCGTTTTATAGTTTTTTGCGAAGTATAATCAAAATAAAAAAAATTCTCATCAGTTAAACTACAGAAGAAGAAGAAAAAGAAGAGAGAAATGCATGTTAACAGTCAACATATATTTTTTTTACTCCTTTAATCATATTTTCAAATATCACGAATCGACTACAGAACTTCTCTAACAGTTAATATGTGCAAATGTGTTTGTGAGGGATTAAGGACATACTCAATTGAGAAAAGTGATATACTGCACAATTAAACATGTCTGTTTTTAACTACACATTTCGTTTCATCTCCCTCTCTATCTCCTGCTCTTCTTATTTGGCTATATATCTTTGTTTAATTAATGTAGTTGGGACAAATTATATATAATATATAATCGCTTATCGAAAATGTTTATAAACAAATAATTAATAAATATATAAAGTACTTAATTAATATTTCAATAACAAAAGTCTGTGACGATCTTATTAATAAATTATCAGTGTTACGGAAATCCTTAAATTCTAGAAAATACGAAATATCCAGAAAATGATTGTTGTATTTTCGAAGTCAGCAATTTTATGAGGCAATCAAGAGATGAACTATTGATTGAAGTGAATAATTATGAATTGGCCAATAATTACAAACACCATGAACAATAAATACTTTTGAATAGAACGCTTCCTCTCTGCGTAATAGTATGTATTGGTGATTTTTAGAGGGAAGAAGATTTTTCACTGTTGATTATTTTAATTTTTCCTTCTATAAATCGAATGAACATCATTCATAAAAGCTTGTTATGAAAGGTTATTTATTCTATCATCTGCTATCGTTAGTTCTTTTCTCACATCCTTGCTGGTCCGCCTCAACTGGAAGAGAATGGCAAATGAATTTAAGTAAGTATCTCTATTTTCAAGATATTTATAAAAGGAATACTTACATTTTATTATTGCTAATTAACAACGATGTTTTCAATACTGCTATTCTGTTTGTATTGATTACAAGTAATATAGATTTGAGGAGTAATGAATTGTTATTGATAGCTATTAATAAATTTACAGATATTTGCCCGCCAATCTTATGTGGACCTCAGCAATCGGGTCACAATCAACATGAACCTGGTAATAAATATATTAGATCGCTAATTGAATAGTCTTTTTCTTATCTCGACTATCTATTATTATTTGGACAGGTCAATCTCCCTTCTATGAAGGCGATATAGTATTAGATAAAGAATTATGGTTAAGAATGAAATTGAAAAGATTTGAAAATTTATTTAGAGGATCTAAACGCAGTCTTGACATGGATAGAAGAGGAATAGTAAAAACGCATAGATTGTGGCCAAATGCTATTGTCCCTTATAAAATAGAGGGAAATTTAGGTATAAACGTTATATTAAATAATACCCTTTTTCCTTTCAAAAAGTATATCTTTTACTTTAGGAAGTAATGTTAAAGCTACTATATTAAAAGCTTTAAAACATTACGAAGCGAAAACCTGTATCAGATTTAAGAAGAGAACGAGGGAAAGATTCTATATCAATTATGTGCTATCTGCTGGCTGTTGGTCATTTATTGGCAGAACCGCTCCTAAACAGGGAACGGGCCAAGCTCTTAGTATTGGTTTTGGTTGCGAAAATTTAGGAACTATTGTTCACGAGACAGGTCACGCCCTTGGTTTTTGGCACGAACAAAGTAGAAACGATAGAGATAAATATGTAAAAGTTGTGAAAGAGAATATAGCAACGTTTGCAAAAGATCAGTTTAAGAAGAGGACAGCAAATGAAAGTATTATAGATTCTAAAGGTTATGCTTACGATTACCTAAGTGTTATGCACTACGGAGAAGATTACTTCTCCAAGAATGCTCAACCAACTCTTAAAGTAATTGGTCCTGGTAAAGAATTCAATTTCAAGATTGGTCAGAGAAAGGGTTTGTCGAATCTTGATATTGCTCAATTGAATGATATTTATGGTTGCAACAAGAGAAAACTCTTAAATTTACAAGTACAAAGTTAGTAAAAGTTTTAAATAAACTGGATTTTTATTAAAAGTAAAAATATGAAAAAATTTACAGCTAAATCGAGTTGTCCAAAAAATTTCGTAAGGTTATCAAGTGGCTGTTACTTTTTTTCAACTGAGCATAAGAACTTTTGGGATTCAAAGAGACAGTGTAAGAGGCTAAACTCGAATTTATTACAAATTGACAGCAACGATGAAAATAATAGAATAAGGGCACATCTATTACAAAATTTTAGGAAGGAAAGAAAATTTAGAACAGGTGGATATCGGTTTAATAGAGAATTTAAATGGTATAAAAATAATGGTCAACATTCCACGATGAAATATCAAAAATGGACCAAAGGTCAACCAAAGAGAAATACTTTAGTATACGCTCTTACAAAAGCTAAAGATCGTTACGTATGGACAACTATAACTGATGGAGTTAGGTATGGTTATATATGTGAAACGGCTGCAAAATGTAAAAAACCTTTGAGAGGTCGAGGAGAAACCTATAGGGGAAAGATAAATTATTCGGAAAATGGTGTTAATTGCCAACACTGGTCCTCGCTTTATCCTCATAAACATACATTATCAGCTTACGTTAAAAGTAAGAAATACGGATTAGGAAACCATAACTATTGTCGTAATCCTAAAGGATTTCGTTCTAGACCGTGGTGCTTTACAACTAAGAGAACGAGAAGATGGCAATATTGTCAACTTGACTCTTGTTAATGTTTATGATATAATAATTTTTTATATTGAACTCTAACTTTTTCCTGAATCGGCTTACATGAAAGAAACTTTTTATATGAATGTGTTGAAGGATACAAAAGGAAATTTGACATCTGTAAACAATTTCTTAAAACAATTTCCTTTCACATTCGAGCTCATTTTTCTCCCTCTCTCTGTTTCTTGTGTATAAACTTTCGGCTCACATTAAACTTTTTCTCATCTTTATCTTTTCTTTTTGTATAATTTTAATTGAATAATAAAAATGTTAAACAGTTAAACATTTTATCAAATGTATTATTAGATAACGAAAGAGAACATGAATGGGGGTAAATTATAGATCTATTATTTATGACGAGTGCAAGGGCGTTAAAAAGATTATTATTTCTTCCTTAGACAACAACTGAACAACTTCTTTAGTTCTGTTCTAATTACAGAGTTAGGAATGATATATATAAAAGGATTTACGATACTATTAAGACACAAAAATGCTGATGAGAGCGTTCCGAATTGACTCGTAGAATCCTCCTCATAACCAATAAATCGACCAACTGTTGATCCTGGAATCCAACAGACCATAAATAGAAATGTAACACATGTTAATTGCAACAAAAGTCGCTGCTCCCTTTTGTCTTTCAGAAATTTGGTTTCTACCGACATTGTACTGGTAGAATGACTCGCTTGACAATCGATTCTTGATCTTTGTTTTCGAACTTTTTTATAAAGAAATATGTATGAAATAGTGACAAACAATACAGGAATTATTGTAAACGTTATTAACGTTACAATTGTATAAGATATGTATTGAGGATAATTGTATACGCATAAATTTTTACCCCGAATATATTGAATTTTACCCCATTTCGTTAGAATAGCCAAACCATTTATACCAAAAGGTAAAATCCAAGAAACACCAATCATTAACAAACAATTGCCCCTCGTAAAGACTTTTTTATAAAGACCAAGTTTAGATACCAGCATATATCGATGAAAGACAACAAGACAAAAGTTTATAGCAGATGCTGAAAAGATACTTGGAACTATATAGCCAAGAGCCATACATAGAAATGATGTAAAATCGTTTAACAATGGATTAATAAATGTTGTAATCGCCAGAAAAAATGCTGAAGCTAATAATCCTAGAAGATCGGCAACATTGACATTAACAATGAAAACTTTTTGGTCGAAAGTATACTTATCTTGACGGATAAATAAAATTATAACCAAGATATTTGCTATAACTCCGTAAATAAAAAGGGTTTGAAGGATTATTGTTGCAGGCAAAGATATCGTAGACATGATATTTTTTTATCTCTCTCTCTCTCTCTCTTACTTACTTACTTTGAAAGATATTCAATGTTATCTCTCTCCGTTTCTCTTTCAACTCTTACATTTAATTTAACATATTCTTATTTTGTAGTACCGCTTGACTCGGCTGCCATCTTTTGGCGAAATAATTCACTGTACAGTATATAATTTTTTTATGTACTATACAAAATAACTTATCATTATTTGCTAATTTCACGTTTTTGTACTTCTACATAAATATCTAATTAAGAATAAAAGATAATAATTTTCAATGTTCTTATTAAAGTTAATTTAATCCATAGATTTAGAGGTTTTACTTGTTAGATATTAAAGAAGAAAATGGCCATTTTTAACTACTATATAAGCAAGGAACCGAAAGTAGATTTTCAAGAAATGCTAATTTTATTGTTCAATGGATAATTAAATAGGTCATTGATCTAGAAATCCTAAGAAGTTTAATAAAAAAAATCGTGATTGAACTATTGAAGAACGACCCTTTGACAATAGCTATTTTAGAAAACAAACTGATTAGAGTAGGCTAACATGTTTGTTTTATGCATATACCTACGAAGACATTCAGTGCCATGTTTGATTAAAGAGAAGTAAGGAAAGTAAAATCATACTAAAATGCTCTAAGGGACAGGAAGCTACTCAGTGAAATAAGGAAGTAAAACTTATAATAAAAAGTTACAAATGGAACATATAAAGTTAGGATTTAAAAACCCGTCTAAAGAATATGATTATTATGTCAGAGATTGTTATATCATTCCAGAAATGTGCAAAGTGAAATTGAAGGAGGAAATATGCAAAATTTTCAAACAGATTAAGAAATATCATTTAAATGTGAGATACGAGATTGAAAGTTGCGTATTTGTTGGTAATAGTTTAATGGCTGTTGATGAAATTCCTGATGAAATAGGCTTATTTCTAAAGAATATATTCCAATCAAGAACATGGTTTTTAACCAAAGGGTATAATCGACCATATTTTATCTCTAATAAAATCGTCTCAATGTTTGAAAATGGTAAACATATATATAATACAGGAGTTAATTATTGTAAAATTAAACTTAAAGAAGGATTAAATGATGAGGAAATAATAAATGGCGACGAAACCGATTTACAGAGAAATCATAATAGTTTTGCCCTTATTGCAGATATAAACACATATTTTGAATACCTTAAATATTTTCAAAAATGTCAAATTAAATATTCTATAATTAAGGAACATAGAGAAAACCTATTCAGTTTAGTATTCATCGCTTTTGATGTAAGTACAGAGTTATTTCGTGAATTGTGCGTTTGGATCGAAGCATTAAGATCTAAATTAAAAAAAGACCATTTAATGAAATTGAATAAATGCAAAATATTTACAAATACTAAGAGCGAGAAAGAAATCAATAAGATATTAAGTGAACTTAGAGGGTCTGAAAAGTTAGGTCATTTAGAATTTAATGATTATTGGAAGAAAAGGATTAGTGAAAACTTAGAGTTTGCTTCGAAAGAAAACCTATTTTTTAATCTAACTGAAGAAAAATGCAGATGGTTAAATATCAACATCTTGGAAATAAGGAAATTTTTCAACTGCTTGAAAAGCTGTGGTCTATGGATGACAGGGTATAATTCATTCTCTGAATTTTGTTTTCTTAACCACGAAAGTGATATATTGGAGTTTCTAAGTACGCAGAAAAGGACAATCGATTGTTTTATTAAAAATATACATTTTACTGATTTATATAACTATTTCTTTAAAATGCGCACTAACATTGCTTCGCTTCTTAAGGATAAAATTAGTAAGAAGATTGATAAGATAAAAATAACTAGGAGACTTGAGAAAGATTTGAAGCTCAAATATAGCTCGGATTTTATTCCCGATTATGAAGAGTTGATAAAGAATTTAGAATGCAAGAATTCAGAAAAAAAGAATTCAGAATGCAAGGATTTAGAAGATATATCATTATCTTTAAAAAATATGAAAGAAAAGTATAATGACCAAATAACAGAAGAATTTATAGAATTTAAAAATATATTGTACAATCAATTAAAACTTTCGAAAGTTATGTTGTCATTTTCTTCATCGAGCGTTATTGAATTGTTGAATTGTAACACATCATCGAATGATAATATTAAAGAGGTCGTTGATGATATTCTATCGAATACTATTGGAAAAAGTGCAATGATCCATTTTGAACTTATGAACAATGTAGATTCAAAATCAGATGAGAATGAAGTGAGTAAGAAATTAACTTGGAATTTTATTTTCTATGCTTGTATATCTCACAATGTGGCTTTATTAGATTACTTCTTATCAAACATTAATCCTATTCTTGTTTGTATTATTATATCAGAGATTTTTAAATACTTTGAAGAAAGATGCTTGGACTTTAACTATATTTTCTTATCTAAACAATTGAAGAAAAGTTGGCAGAAATATGCCTTTTTAAGTAAAGAAATCTTTCGTAATATGTTTCAAATATATTATGATGATGCTTTTTGTCTTCTCAATTCTACGCCTTTAACAGTTAAAGAAAGCAATTTACCGAATACTCTCCGTATAGCCATTTCCTGCAATTCTGAGATGTTATTCAGTGAAAAATCAGTTTCCCTATTAATAAAAATGATTTGGAAGGGAAAGGAAAACTCTCGAAGTTTCATACAGAAAGACTGCAATAAATTTGACATTACCTCCCCAATGTGTAGATATATAGTTTCTTTTGCAACTCATTTCGGATTTTTATGTCTCTTTGCATATCTCTTGTTATTTAAACTAAAGCCATTTTCACAAGATCAATTAAGTGTTATAGAGTTTTTAATTATGATTTGGATATTTTCAATATCAGTTAAAGATGTAGGAGTACTCTCTCAAAAGTGTCTCGAAGTAAAAAGATATATAACATTGAAGGATCCCAAAAGTAAACATGTCTATCCGAAATCAATTATATTAGTTGTAAAGCGAAGATATTCTTTGTTTATGCTTATTTACTATTCTAGTATAGTTTGTTTACTCTCTGCTAGATTCATAATAGAATCTAAGGAATTCTTGAGTATAAGGATACTCTACAGTCTTATTTTTGTTTTTCTTAATTTGAGATTTCTAAAGTATTTCTACGGTATTAAGCAATGGGGTATCGCCCTTCGAACGATGATTACCATGTTTAAAGACCTTGGAAGATATCTGGCTATTGCTTTAATACTTATGACATCAACTGCTACAGCTTATCATGGAATAATTGGCAATTTAATTGATTCAGATCGCAATGACAATTTCTTTCGTGTAAGTTATCGCATCTATAGTTTTCAATTTTGGAGAATTTTTGGCGAAGTCGACACCGATCAAATAGATAACGATTCTTCAAATTCGTTGAGTTTGAAATGGATTCTGAGTATCATTGTTGGAATATATTTAATATTGATGAATATTTTATTGATTAATCTCATTATAGCGAAGTTTTCAACTTCTTATTCTAAAGTTGACAAGAAATCGGAATTGCTAACAGCCGTTCAAAGAGCAAGAATAGCTATTGAGTATGAAGATTTTTACCAGAATTGGATAACATTTCTTACCATTGACGCCATTTTACATCTAATCATTGTGGTTGTTTGTCTAGTTTATGACTCCTTAATAAAAAAATTCTTTAAATGTTGCTGGGAAGGCTGCCGTTTGACAAAGTCTAGAATTTCTCCCAACAACGACATCATCGATCCTGATAGAGAGAAACAACATAAATTAGATTATGAACATTCAGTTCTATTGGCTTTAAAAGACTATAATAACAATATCTCAATAGCAAGTAAAACATGGTATTGATTAAACTGAGGCAAAAATATGACATATAAGGTGGTTGATCATGAATGAAACATTACGAGACAGCTTGGTTTTTCTTTTTACTTGATTGATATCCTTAATTTTTCTATTGACCTACAACAGTAAAGAATAGAAATAGTACAAAATTTTGAACTTTTTATTTATATACGGCTATTCAAACACATTTACACTGAACATAACAAGTATATTCAATATACGCCTATATAAAAGGTGTTTTTTTTATAAATGCTGAATAAATTTAATCAACTGATAATTATTAAAAGTTTTTTCTTAGAAAACGAAAAGAGTAGTTCGGGATTCTTTTAGTAAAACATACGAAATATTCATACCCACGTTCAATTTTAATATACATTCTACGTCCTCGCATAGATTTTTCTCTTCTTTTACAAATTATAATCCCTTCAATTTAATATAATTCACCCTATAAATAAGTTTTAGTTTGTATGAATAAAGTATAATATTGATCTGTCATTTTTGGTTAGGAAAGAAAATAAGAAAAATCCTTACGAAAAGAAAAATAGGAAGAAAAACACCAATATGTTTTAAAGATTGTTGACTTTTTAACTAAACAAACAAAAAATTCATACATTAATGTATCATAATCTAATATTTCCATTGGTTGTATTAATATATTTTGGTAAGTCGAAATAGGAATTTTTATTAACTGCATGTATGTTTATTCCAGTTGAAATAATCTGTAATTCTTTATGTTCATAACAACAGGCTATAGAACGAGCTGTTCCGGTTGTAGCATAAGTAATTGTCTATATGAAAAATGTAGTTCGAAAGATACCTATTGCAGTGAATGCTCTGAAAATCGAATTTTAAGTAAATCTAGAAAATATTGTCTTGGTAATGAATTTGTATATATAAAATAGCGTCTTCTGGTCGTTTATTTTTATAAAGAAAATCTATATATTAAATAGAATGCCCTAAATATTGTAAGTCCACAAAATTCTGTAAGGAAAGGGATAGCTGGTTAATCGAAGGTAATGCGACAGTTTGCTCTGTTTGCCGTGATGAATATTATTCAGAAACTTCGGGAAGATGTCTACGTTCGTTATTGTTTTTTGTCATTTTTTCTATATTTATTAAACAGCTAATGCTATTTCAGCTTGCGCGAAAGATTGCAAAAGATGTGAAAATTTGCAAAAATGTTTAGAGTGTAAGGATAATTATGCCTTAACTATCGATAAATTGGAATGTTTAGGATGTTCAGAAGGTTGTACATCCTGTAGATTTGCAGAGAATAATGCTCAATGTTTATATTGTCAGAAAGGATATTATTTGACTAGATATCATGTTTGCAATCGTAAGATATAAATATTTATTATTAGATTTCATAATTAAATGATAAAGAACAATTCTCTAAATAGGTTGCCCTAACTACTGCTTAGAATGTTTCATGGATTTCAAAAACAGCGTGTTAACTTGCAAAGAATGCTCTGAATTTTCTTACAAAACGGCACTTCATACTTGTATACCATGTGATTTTGTTTTGCATGGTTGTTTAAAATGTGAAAATTCTGAGAACTGCACGAAATGCTCGTCAAATTTTTTCCTAAATAACGATAACAAATGCATCAGCTGTACAACTTATGACAGAGCTTGCATAGAGTGCTCCCGTTTGGACAAATGTTCAAAATGTCAAACAGGTTTTTCAGTCTTCAAAGGCACATGTATTAAATGTAAAGGAAACTGTTTAAAGTGTCAACCAGACAAAGATAACAACATTTTATGCCTACAATGTCGAGAAAACTATGCCCTTCTTCTGATGGAAAGCTGCGATAGATGCCCCGATAATTGTCAGTCATGCTATTTCTATAATGGGGATATATTTTGCTCTCGTTGTAATAAAGGACATGTCCTAGACTCAAATTCCAGATGTCTTAAATGTCCTAATTATTGCGAAGCGTGCGATTTAAAGCTTGGAAATCTAAAATGTTCGAAATGTATAGAAAATTTCGAAGGAAAATCATGGACTTTAAAAGGCGATGGAACTTGTTCCGGTAGTTGTAATTTATTGTAGAGTACTATACTCTATTTGTACTTTAAACTTAATCACTTCTTTTCCATTTAGCTTGTAGTAGCAACTGCCTTAAATGTTACTTTCCCACGTCATCGCATGTGTCACCCGTATGCTACCCTTCATCTTGCGCACAAGGGTATGCGTATAATGCTTCTGGCAAAACATGCTTAAGCTGCCCAAGTGGTTGCTCTACATGTCAAGTTACCGAGGACAAAGTAATCTGCTTACAGTGTATAGAGACTTTCGTAGCTCATTTAGACAATTCAAGTCGAATACTAAATTGTATAGCTTGTAAAGGTCAAGGTGTATCAAGTTGCTCCTATGACACATCAACTTTACAGACTAAAACCCTAACATGCTTGGAGAATTTTGTACTAAGCGTAGAAACTTCAACCTGCGAAAGTAAGTATATAAATTATAGATGATAAACAAAATCAACAGTAGTTATTTCATTTTCGTATCGATTAGAGTGCACTGACAACTGTCTATCTTGCAAAAAAACCGGTACAGGGACATGTGACCCTGATGGTTGTCAACAAGGCTACTTTTTTGATTCAAGAACAAAGATTTGCCGTCCAACTAAAGAAAATTGTCTAGCAGCCGAACTGGTTGATTCGTCATTTGTTGCTTGTATATCTTGTCCGGACGATTATGTTCTTTATGATAGACGTTGCAGAAATTGCCCAAGTGGCTGCATTAAATGTAAATTTGATGAAACTACTGGTAAATTTACTTGTTCCGGCTGCAAAGCTGGATATAGAATTCATATGGAAGTTTGTGTCCCATGCCCAGAGGGATGCGTTTCATGTTTTAGAGAAAACTATATTGACAAGTGCACTGTATGCTCTCCAAAATATGGTTTAAGAGGTGACGCTTGTGAACTTTGTGGGACAGAAAATTGTAAGAGTTGCAAGTCAAATTCCAAAAACAATTATCATCTTCGTTGTACTGAATGTGAAACTGGTTATCAATTAAACACACAAGGATGCGGTTTATGCCCAGATAATTGTCAAAAATGTATCTATAGCAATCATTATATATGCTTACAATGCAATGACGGCCATACATTAACACAAAAGGGGAAATGTATACCTTGCCCTAGAAATTGCAGGAAATGTATAACTTTAAGTGAAATTATCTCCAAATGTATAGAGTGCAATGAAAAATACTCAATTTCCAGCGATGGAACTTGCCTTCAATGTAGTCTTTCAACATTTCATGGTTGTAGGAAATGTAGTCCAGTTGCTTTTAATGCAAAGGGAGTTTGTAAAGAATGCGAAGAAGAATACACGCTAAGGGATGATGGGCAATCTTGTCTGAATTGTGCCATAGACGGATGTAAAGTTTGCTTCCATGGTCATTTCTGCTTTAAATGTGCTCATGGTTTTCAATTAATAGATTACGATAGGAAATGTTCGTGTATGTTGACTTAACAACTTCACATGGGCCAGTAGTAATTACTTATCTTTACAGATAATTGCTATAGCTGTGAAGGGAATGAAGAAGACTGCGGAGTTCGCCTGCAAAATGTATCCCAAAAGACGGTAACAGATTGCACTGAAGGAAGTTGTTGGGGATATCGTATAGAAGCTGAAGGGAGAATTTCATTTGTTAGGAACTGTACACAAAAGACTTGTCCAAAAAACTTGAAGGATAACTTTGTATGCGATAAATTAAATTCCAGATATCAAATTTGTCAACAATGCTGCACTACAGCACATTGTAATAATTATACATTGACCGATAAAAACTGCTCAATTAACAAGAACTTTAACAGCTTCTCAAAAGTTTTTATTGTAGTTTTAATGATACTTTGGAAAAGCTTTTAGTAAACCAACTGAAGAAACAAATGATGAAAACAATAATACAGTAAATAAATAAAGCAAAACTATTAATTAATATCCGAAAAAGAGTCTAAAATTTCTATCTAAGATTGATTTACAACAATTTTTTTATATCAATCTTTTTCTGATATTCAAAGGTTTCTTCACTTTTCTTACTTTCATTTAGACGTCTTCTGTATGCTGCAGACTCTTTTTGATAGAAGAGAGAATACTCGATTTGTCCATGAGTAATAAAAAAACAATAAAATTTTTAGAGTTTGATTCTCTCTCTTATTCCTACCTAATATAAACCATCTTTCTTCCTGAAAGCTTCTCTATGGGATAAAGAACAGCACAATCTTTGGTTATTGTACAAAATATAAAACGAATAGCTAAAAAAGGAGAGAGAGAATGTTACTTTAGTATACTTTTTAAAATATTGAAAATATCATCTTATAATTGTCAATGAAAAATGAACGTACTATATAATAATCTTAACATATCGGTTACTTTAATCATAGAATATGTATTACAGAAGAAGATAAGACTTAGATAAAACTAAAAGCAAATCATTTTTACATAATCGTTTTTAATTTTTGTTCAATGTTATTTAATCTTTCACCTATCTTTGCGACATTTCCGGCAACCTCTATCATCAGATCATTCAGACTATCATCAGGAAACTTTGTTAAATGTGATATTACGGAATTAATTGAGGCTGATGTATCAATTTTAGTCTCTTCCACCTTGTTAAATGTTTTACTTTTACCTATTCTGAGGCACTCTATATTTTTATTCTCACCACAACAGCGCATATACTTTTTCCATAAGAACATTATTATTCTAATAGAATAATCAATTAAATTTAGTGGAGGAGGAATGTATAATTCTTCAAGATATTCAAAAGTTAATTTAACGGACTGAACTGACCAAAGCAGCTCTGTTTCTTGTTCTATTCTATTGTAAGAACTTGAGAATATGGCTATCAGTAAATTAATTAAAAGAATATTCATTACAATCAAGTAAACTCCTATCAAAATGGGTAACAGCCAAGAGAGTATGTCGTGCCTCCCGGAATCTTCATTTAATTTCTCTAAATTCAATTCCCCAAATATTCTCCAAAATGGATCTCCGAATATTGCAGCTAAAATATTAATAGCTTTACCGGAATATTTAACCCACTTCCCAACCATAGCCTGATAAGCAACACCAAAACTAAGTAAGAAAACACCAGCTACCATAAGGAATCTAACCAAATCTTTTGTCATTTCTAACATTGTTAGAACTTTAGGTCCAAGAAATTTAATGTAATTCATAAATTGTAAAACTCTAGATGACATTAAAATAAGGGTAATACCGTAAAATATTCTAACCAAAACAAATTTTTCAATACCTAATAAACACCTCAGTGTAAACGATGTAAAAAAGCAAATAATTGATAATATATCGATAATATTCCAATTACTACTCAGATAATTGATGATAATATCACGATATTTTGCCAAGTAATAAAAGTCAACAGAGAAATGTTTTGTATCTTCATCAATGATTTTTGAAAATTCCTTATAAGGGAAAACTTTTGCAGATGTATAGTAAATTTGCCGCATTTCTTCCATCATTAATCCGCTAACCCATATTAATAATAAAACTTCGATAACACCAATAGATTGTATAGAAATTGGGTTGAGAAGAATTAATATAAAATAACTAAACAGCGAGAGAAAAGACAAATAGAAGAAAATATTTAAAAAGAACTTGAGTTGAGGTGTTAGAATCCAGTTGAAAATTGATTTTTCCCTATCATTTTTTTGAGAGGGAACTTTGTTTGATTTCCACATTGAATCAACGTTCTTCTGCACACCTGGTTCAGCTAAAAGGTGTTTCATATTACAGTTCAGTGCAATTTCCAGAATCGTTCTTTCACTATTTCTATCGAAAGGAAGATGGGCATCTAAAAATATGTCGCATTTATTCCAATATTTATCAAAGAGACTATGATAAATTTTCTTAGCCAGCATATTATATCTTTGGCCACTTTCCGTTAATTCTTCGTATAAATTTAACAAGCCATACTCTTTACTTTTTATAGCCAAGCCATTTAGGATCACGGAAGCTACTAGGGAAGATGCTACTGGGTTTGTTTTATATAGTAAATAGTCAATTAGACATGTATTATGGGATAAAATACCAAATATAAGTAAATCCCAAATTGCATATTGCCTATCATTACTTCCAAAAGGCCTATATAAAATATTCGATTTCTTACCAAAGACGTAATACATAATTAAAACTATTCTATTTTCAATTCCTTTAACTGTTGGCTTACAAATGTGATTTAACAAAATATGTAATTTATTGCTAGTTTGTAATTCCTTTTTGGAGAAAAGTTGATCATAATAAGGTATTAGTGCTTTTTCACTTATTGCTTCCCATAATTTCGTATCAATTGTTTTAATAGTAGCAAATAAATTTCCTTGAAAACCAACAACAGAGAATAAATATGAAAGAGAAGTTACTTTTCTATCTAAAATTTGAGAACTTTTTAGAGCTATTTGAAACTTATTAATTTGTCTTAATGTCTCATTAGCTTCTTTACACTCTTCATCTGTCAAGATACAAATGCGCTTTCTTTCATTTAACTCGGCTATAATATAAAAGTCATTAATACTCATTCCTATCTCTAAACAGTTAATATTTATTTTATCCATCTCTCTCTCAAATTCCTCAAAAGGATTGTCAAACGAAGTATCTCTTATTATTTCAACAGCTTTTGCAAGAATATCGGCTATTTGTCCACTTCCTTTGATAATAAATATAGGGTATTCGTAATATTGAGGAGTTGTATCGTTATCATCATTTCCATCTCTCATTAATATTAAATTACTAACGGTTCGATTCCAAGATTTTAATTGTAAAATCGTACTTTCATCTCCACCAGCAACGATGAAAACACTACGAAATAGATTTCTATTATAATAGTTCAAGTTATTCAAGAGTTGTTTCCGTTGGAAAGATTGCATAAACTTTAAATAATCGTTTTGATCGTTCAAGTAGAAAAAAGTTTTATGATTATGTTGTAATTGATTTTTCTTATCGTAGACAATACTTTTATCAAAATTTATAAATTCTAATATCCCATAACAAACTCCAATTATAAATATTGACTTTTCATTTTTAAATAAATGACCTATTCTTTGGGAAACGCTACTTGAATTATTTAATCCATCGGTTATAAGCCATGTATTGTTATTGAATAAACACTTAAAAAACATTAAAATTTCATCGCTTAAATATTCAATTGATTTTTTACTTTGGCCAAAAAACACGCTCGTTTCATTTAAACAATCGACCATTAATCTATTATTAACAATTCGATCAAAAGCAATCTCACCATCATCTGCCTCGTAACGAATGAATTGTCTTTTAAATCTTTTACCTTTATTCCTAAAAGAGTTATGTTCATCATCATCAAAAATAATTGTTACAAGATTATCTCTCATGTCGTCACAACAAACAGTCATTTCCACTAAGAAATCAGAATATTACGAGAAGATCGATTTTACACACGAATATATGGATATATATATATATACAGTATATATATATCACTATCTTATCACAAACAATCTCACAGACTGTATATTTTATGATTGCCAATATAAAACAAAAATATAAGAATGCTGACATAGATTTCATCAATGAAGGCTTTCTTTAGTAAAAGTCTTTTCTAGTGCAACTCTTAAGCATAGTCTTATCTATATAGGATAAATTCTAAAAGAATTATCTACTATCCAGCATAAATATGAATAGTAATATTTAGGTTAAATATATAATATAAGGAACGTAACTACAGAAGAAGGTAACCTTAGGATATCTCTCTGCTAGTGTATATAGTAATAATCCTTTCAAATATCATTTATTAAAAAGGCATTTATATATACATATATACCATATATATACTGTACATATACTTATACATACATATATATGTGTGCAGTATATATAATTAAGATGTTTTGCACACACAACGTAATTCAGTTAAACTAATTAAACAAAGTTTAATTGAAAGCTGATTTGATATGCTTTCGAGGGGTTCGTTGGTTTTCAGTTACCTGTTTGCTTTCTTCATTTACGGTTTAAAGAAAGAGCAAAATCAATTATTTTCACATACATATATAACTGTATATAAATAGAATAGAACGTATTAGATTTTAAAAAGGAAAAATGCCATTTGCTTTATTATATTTGAGAGACAAATCCCGTTGTATTAAAAGTATGTTTTTGTGTTATTTAAATAAGATACTAGTATGATATTACAACGTCCAAAACAAACTACATGCTTTCCACAAATACAATAGATATTCTAAGCGTCTTAATAATTGATTGTATATTAATAATTTATGCTTCATTTTTGTTTCCTATTGATAATATGTTAATGAGATAACGTCTAATAGTTTTGTGAATGTGGGGAAAAAATTACTTGATATCTTAAACTTTCTAGAGTGGCTTTGTTACTATTATGCAAATGTTATCATCTTTAATCATACACTACGAATATATTTCATTTATGACCTTGAGAAACAATGTAAGTAACTTGATTATAGACCCTGGATATTTGAATCGAAAAGAGGACAACGATATCATCCTTGTTCCTAGATATATGAAAAAACGTTTTTTTAATTAATTCCCCGGATAAAACGAAACTGTCGAGTCTATTAATTAAGCTATACATTTTGAAATAGTCATTATCTATAACTAAAAAACCTTAAGAATAACCAATATATTTAAAAATCCAAAATCTAGATCAAAATTCTAATTATAATAACTAAGAGATAAAACACGTACAAGTATAATAATTATATCAAAATTTTAATAACAATTGTTGAAAAGAGTCTTCTACTAAAATACCCAAACATCAAATGATACATTCAAAGAGAGAGAAAGATAGAAAATCCAGCGAAAGAATTCAGACTGAAAGTTAAAAAAAAAATATATCAAGAGTAACAGTTATTATAATAGTTATAAACTAATTTATTTCCTCTTGTTTTGCAGTTGTTAAATTTATAAATTATTCTATGAATAGACAATTATTTCATTTTGTATTTTAATTTCTTTCCTTTATTCTGTATTGTATAGTTTAACATAAATATATATATAGGTTAAATGAAAGCAAATAGCGTACCTTAAAATTACCCTGAGATTGTCTTCTTTCTTTGTTAACTATAAATAAAAGGAAAAAAAAACAAAAGAAAAAAAATACAGCACATACGTTTTGTATAGAGAATAGAATAGATTTTTAACTGCAAGTTTACATCAATAAGTTCATCACCGACATAGAATATACAATAGAAAGTACATTGTTTGTCTTTTGTTTCCGTTTTTTTATAAAAACAAATCTTCATTTGATTTCTTTTAAAAAAGTAAAAAGTAATTTGTAAATGTTTTTGTTTAATAAACGTTAAAAAAATATACAAATATCACTGATAAAAGTGTAAATTTATACAACTTCTTTTCCCTTGATTTATCTTCCTCTCTTCTTAATCTTTACTTCATCTTAAGTATTTTCACCTTATAGGATAAATTTTGGCCATCTTTTACTGTCTTTACCACCACGACTCGATTTCCCTTTTCGCTCTTTCTTTCGCACCAATTAACTAACCTCTTACATTTCAATAGACCTATCAAATCTCTTCTGAAAGGTTGTGACAGGAAGCAATACAACAACGGATTAACGGATGAATGAGCCATGGCTGGCCAATGGACAGCAACAAATATACTAATATAATGATTTTCAAAACTTAAATGTTCCGGTGTAAAATGATTCATAAGTGTGAAAATGTTTAAAGGAGCCCAACAAACGAGAAACCCAACAGCAATGGCAACAAGTATCTTAAAGTAATGTTGAAGTCTTTGAAAATGTTCTTTTGTCTAAATATAGCTTAAATTTTATAATTTCCCTTGGCGTACATTGCCAAAGCAAAGTTTAAATGTTATAATTTATTTATGTGTACTGTATATACGATATATATATATATATATCGATTCTTTGAAGGAGGGAAAAAAGTAGGATAGAGAGAGCAATAGAAAAAGAAAAGAACTGAGATGGAGAGAAAGATAGAGAGAAAAACATTATAATAAGGTATTCATTTCTTTCTACATTTTCTTCTTTCGATATTGCGCTTTTCTATTTATAGAAATACCTTTCAAAAGGAAAACCTATACTTTTATATATCGAAATTTAATTTTAGGACGTGTAAAAGTTAATCTTATTTCCTGAAGACTTCAAAATTACTTTAATTATTTTTTTAGTAGCCGCCTTTTGTCTTGGATGCAAACAATTACTCGAATGTTCCTCTCCCCGACGTAGTTTCTTTCTCCATAGAATACATGTGAGATAAGTGTTTATAGCTACTAAAATAACGAAAGGTATAACATAGGTTGCTGCCAAGAGGATAATCGTGTAACAATTTCTATCGGCATGGTTTGACCAATTTTCCGAACAAATCGATTGTAGTACGCTTCCATTCTTTGATTGAAATACGTTTAAATCAGTTACAAACGCTTGAGGAAGAGCAATAATCAACGCTAGTACCCAAACTATAGCCAGAATCAGAAACGTTCTTTTTCTCGCTGCCTCCGTTTGTAAGGGCTTCTTTACCGCTAATAGTCTGAAAGAGTAAAATGCAATGCTAATGTGACATGCCATATAAAATATAGAAGATATATTAGGATATTGAACATATTGTAGTCTCTAATATTCACTATACAATGTATATAGTTTATCCTTTCATTGATGCTTTCACATAACAATATTTTTTAAGCTGCACGTTTGATGAAATATATTTGACATATACTTTCCGTTGTAATATCATTGATGATACCTTACACTTTTGTACCAGTTTCTCTTTTTTATAGAAATCATCAATAAGTCGTGTGCAGAAAGTTTTTTGTCCAAAAACTCTATTCATTAAACTCTATACATTTCTGTATGTTTGAATGGATTTTAACAAAATCGTATAGAGAGAGAGAGAGAGAGAGAGAGATCTTAGTTGGCTATCTCTTCCCAATCCACTTGATAGATGTTATTTGTTTCTCTCTATGTACCTATTTCTCTTACTAATATTAAACGCTTGGATTAGTAAAGATAAGAAACTTTGAGGACGAGATAAGTAGATTGTTAGATAGATAGATAAATAGATAAACAGATAAGAAAATAGGGCGAAAGCGTAAAGAAACACATGTAAGGTTACATAACTAATTCTCCTCCCAAGGACAGCACTTTGTAAAACATTTTTATACGAAGTATTATGAATTTTATATAGTAGTGTTGCTGTTTTCATGCTAAAATGCTTTTCAAGAATCGATTAGATCTACTTTCAAACTAATTTTGATATCTAAATAAGAACTAAGATGGAATTAAAGAATTGAAATAAGACCTGTTGATTCCAATTGAGACGTTAGTGAAGACGCTAACGCTTATTCCAAGTACTTGGAAGAAATGAACTACAGTACAGAAAAGACTGCCAAACATCCATTCATAGAAAACAACTTTAGTATAAGTGAAAGGTATACAGAAAATAGCCAAACATAAATCAGCAACCGCTAAGTTAATAAGATACTTGCAAATTTCGCTCTTGAAATGATTACAGCAAGTTAGTACCAAAATCGTTAAGATATTTCCAATTACCGCAGTTAAAGCAGTAATTATATAAATACATATTATTAAAATATTTTTTCCACTTTTCCATTCGTCCGGATCACTTTCAAACAAATCGACTTCACTCACTGTGACTACTTGCATGCTGGCGTAGAAATGAAAATCCCTTTGTAGCTTTTGCCACCTACCGATGACGTCATTTCCGTCAGATATAATCTTTATATTCCATAGGTTGATAGAAAAAAACTAGGATATAAATGTTCCTTCTTTCCCCCTCCCTCAATCCCTCTCTATATTTTTATTTATAGGATTTCCAATCGAAATGTACTAAGTCACTTTTATTATAATAAATAAATTACGTCCACGTATTCAAAGAATTGACTTTCAAGAGCTTAGCACTTAGTTAAAGTTAATAAATTCAATTACAAGTCAGTAATCAACTCAAGGACATTTAAGACTTAAACAATAACAACTTTTCCCCCCCAATATATGTCAAAAGAAAATTCCTGAATATAAGAAATACATTTATAAATAAAAACTACGATAGAAGATCTTGAATATAAATTTTATCCATTTTGCAACCAAACTCATCAAAATTGAAATATAAACAAATATAAATAAAAATTGCTTTAATTATTTGTTTACGTTATATATATATATATTAATTAATCTATCTAATTTGCATACTATAATTTTTTTCTCTGCTTTCCTTTTTAGGAAACTCTTTACCTGAAAGCAAACTGCAATTATTTTCACAAATCGCATGTATATGTATTTATACCATGATTTATATAATAGATAACATATACTATAGCATACCAAAATACCATAAATTGTAGATTTATACATAAAATATATCAATACTTATGTCTCCATGAAAAAAGAAACATTGAAATTTAAT